AAAAAAAAAATGAATGACGGCGGGATCGAACCCGGGCCGTCGGCGTGCTAGCCGAGCACGTTACCGCTAGGATAACGCATTATTACAATAATCAAATTTCATTAGGAGTATATATATTGCAAAAGTATCGTTTTACAAAATTGCTAATTTTTCAATTTCACTGCATATCTCTTGGATTTTCAAATATTCACTTTTTAAACGATATTTTGATTGATTTGCCATTAACAAAAAAAAAAAATTGGAATTATTTTGAAAAAAAAAAAGAATGATGCCCGGGACTGAACCCGGGCTGCCGGCGTGCCAGTCGAGCACGTTACCACTAGGATAACGTATTCATTTAGAAATAAAAATTCATTAGTGGTATATATTCCATACATTGAATAATTTTTTCCATTGAAATTCCACAAGATGTGGTTTCCCCCTTCCGTACGTGCTACAGTCGGCTAAATTTCAGTTAAACAAATGAAAAACAAAAAGCATTCGTACAACAGAAAATAAAATTCACCCCGTCGACTTGATGGACACCCCAGCATTGTAATAAAAACTTGGTTAATAAAAAAAAAACACCCCAGCAATGCGTGTTGCGCCCTCCCTCTCTTGGGGTGCAGTACTACGATGCCGCTGGGGTCACTCAAACCCCCAGAACTGAGCCTCTACTTTAGTCAATCCTCTTTGCAGTCACTGTTCCAGGGACACTATTATTATTATTATTAATATTATTATTATGGAAGTACCTCTGCCATCTGCCGAGGGAGGGATAAACCTCGACCGAGGAACTCTCAAGGAAAATAGGAAAATGATTTGACGAGGTGATACGGTACAAACTATACCCGCGTGAATAATCGCGGGATTCCGAGAGGCGCGTACCCAAGGAGTTGCCCGAGCGGTCCAGCTATTGACCCCAAAAATCCATAAAATAATCCACCACTTTTTCACAATCAACGAACAGCCCCCGAGCAATCAATAAAACAATAAATTACCGATTGAAAAATAGTTGGCCAGACTGTAGACAATGCAACACCGCAGGAACACGGCGTATATCGTTCCGGTTGGTCAGTAAAAATTGTACATCAAAGAGAGTTCGTGCCCCAAGTGTTTTTTTCAATTCGGGGATAAATTATCCAAAGACCAGAAGATCATCACAATTTCGATCCCCCGATCGTCACACGTTGTCAAGTGAAATTCAGTGAGTTGGAGGCGAAAATCCGCGGGAATTCGCGAGTTCGAGGGCCCCAAGTGCTCCGTCTCTGTCAGATGTTCGATAGAATTCCCAGAGTGAATTTAATTCAACCAAATCATCGATAATCCTCGTAACAACACAAGTGACCCCGCGAGAATACCGGATACCCCTGAGAAAATCATTCACCACCTAAAATCTACATAAATCACTGAAAATCCATTTCATCATGAAGAAGAGACTGAAGAGCTTCGAGAACCAGAGCAATCGCTCTCGAGGCGACTAAATAACCCCCACAATAACCGCAAAAAAATATTTAAAAAATCAGTGTCCCTTTCCAAAAAATCGTCCTTCACCCCTCACCTCTCAACCCTCCCATACAGGGAAAATCCTCAAAATTCCAACACATGTCCACAAACCCTGGGCCCCCCTCCCCTCGGCAGATGTCGCCAGTGGTGTTGCCGTAGTGTCGTGACCCCTGTCGTGCCCCGGACAATTCAAAAAGTCTCGCCATCCATTTTGAAAGTAAAAATACCCCGCCGCGACCCGGGCCCCAATCCCCCATTTTTTCCCCCACATCCCACAATCCCCAGACGATTTAATCCCACAATGATCTGACAAATCATTACAATAATTAGTAATAAGTAAATATATGGTGGAAAACAGTGGGGCTAAGTGAGTGTTAGTGTTGAGAGTTTAGAGTGAATAATCATTGTGTCAAGTGGTGGGGGATTAAACTGTAACGCGCGCGCGCTCTTGAACGGGCGGAAACAGCGTTGACTGTACTATTTCCCCTCCCAGGATTAGCAGAAAATCCATTGGTATTTGTGTTGGTGATTTGGTATTTGTTGAAATCGGTGTAACCAGACATATTGGTCTTGACACAGTGGGAGAATCAGGGAGAGAAGCCAGTGTACGACGCCTCGGCTGTAACACCGAGACAACTGAACGTTCAACCGAACGTTGTGTGGTGGTACATATTAAAGTTGCCCCCCTCTCTTCGAATCACCAATACAAACCTCTCCTGGCCCCCCATTTACAGAACGGCATTTCGTTCTCACTCGTATCGGCCCCTCAAACGTTAAACCGAAAGTGCGCGGAAGGGTAGTGCACACGCGGGGGGGCACACTCTTAACATTTAATAAAACAATAGGTTTTTCCTTGTTTTTTAAATTTATTTAAGTGTGAAATTGGTGTTGGGGATATTTTGTGGTGAGTTGTGGTTACTGTGCATCGTGTCTGTGAATTGATGCCAGCCAGTGAGGGACGCCATTTTGATATACGAGATTTTGGGACGTCAAGTAACGCCGTGTGTTTTTGTTAATGTTTTATTGTGGAATTGATACGGGGAATTTCAACGATTGTTTTGGATATTTTTTGGCAGAGTTGGGAATTTTTTGGACTGAGAGGGGTGAGTGGTGGGGGCAATAAGAGTGCAACACCGAGAGCTTCACCCGAGAGAGGCACCAGTGGATGAACACTCTGGTGGCATTATGAACGTGTTCTCTGGGTGTTAATTAATTTTCGAGTCATTTAGATTGAATTTTTGAGGGTTTTTTTTCCGGGGAATTGACTTCTCGGATTTGAGTTTGTCGGAATTTTTTGGATTTTCATTTTTTTGTTTTCGTGACTTTTAAGGGGAGAAGGGTTTTGGAGTGGGAGTGAGAGCTGTGAAATCTTTTTTTGTTTATCCTGGTTGGGATTTCGAGGATTGATCTGGACGATTTCAGGTGTGGAATAGTGACAGGTGATGTGTGCGAATGGTTTTGGTGTTTTGAGGTGGAAGTAAAGGATCCTGGGAAGACTTGTGGTATTTTGAGGGGTTAATCATTGGTTCATCGATGTGTTTATTGGACACCTGGTTTACGGTTAAACGAAGTAGATGTGCACCCGTCAAAGGCGCCAATGCGCGTCCACAATTGTTACTCGTGGACGTTTAGTGGATTGTATTCTTGAAGATAAAAAATGGCGAAAATCCTCAATAAGGATCCTGTTACGTACGAGAGGGAGCGAGAGAGCTTCCTCAAGGAATTGCACCATTTTCACGAAACTAGGGGGTAATTATCCTTTATTTTGCAATTTTCAATTATCCATCATGGAAAAATGTATTTTTATATCTGTGGAAATTGATCGAGGACTTTCTATTATCTATTAATTATTTTGAAGAACTAATGTCTATTTTTTTATTGATTTCAGCACGTCGTTCAAAAAAGCGCCGAAAATCAGTGGCAACGAAATAGATCTGTATCTTCTCTATGTCCTGGTGACGGCGCATGGTGGATGGATTAAGGTAAAGAAATATATTTATTTATTTATTTAAGATGTGTTTGTGGATAGTGATATCTCGTAACAGAATGAGGAAGAAGTTTACATTTAGCTCTGAATCTGTTAATTCTCATCTTGATTCCAAAATTCCCGAGTAATATTACAGTTATTTCAAATGAAAATCTTTGAAAGTCGAAAACTTCAGAAATATCCAACAGTCTATAGTGCAACTGTGGCAGTAAAATGATTAATTATTTGAGTGGGTTCAACGAGAAGCAACAAGTTTAGATAATTTGAGAGAAAACTGAATTTCCAATTGAATTAATATCTCCTTCCACCGATTCAATATATTGAGGAGTGGTTTTTTGCGTTTCTTATATCGACAAGAACAAACAACATTCACTTAACATTTTATTGATAATCTGCAACAACACTATAATCCATTTTTCTGGAGTGCATGGACAAGGTTCAGCAAACAAGTTTTTCAATGTAAATATTATGAATTTCTCTGGCTTTCTCATGACTCGTCAATGCGCTCCACACCGGCTCTTTATTTTAAAATGACCAACAACAATATTCACTCGAAGCTATTTATCTATTTTCTGAGAACTTCGTGTGTTTACATTCTTGAAAAATTCGCTACTGATTTGCTTGGGGTTCCACGAGTCTATTGATTGAAAAAAAACGTAAAGAAAGTACCGAGTGCTTGTGGTAAACATTCTTATACTCTCGTGGATCGAGTTTAATACCCAAAAATAGGGGACAATAAAAATACCGTGAGGTTTACGCCCCAACGCGTGCGAACTTCAAGTATTCACGTAGACGTAACGAACACGTGTGGCACAGACGATTACTTCCGGTCGATGAGTGGCACATGCAATGCGCAAAGTTCACGAAATTCGAGAATTTTCTTAGCAGATTGAGAGGGCGATTTCAACTTCAGGTCTGCTACCCATTTCACGGAATTTTGTATTGAAATCGTAAAGGGGAGCGAGTGACTCGTTTCCTAGTTGATCTCACAATAAATATCTTTAAGCGCAATATCTTCAAAGAAATATTTTTCAAATTTTCGTACATTCGAGTATCGACAGGGATTAGTAACTAATAGAAACGGATTTAACCTAGACTTTAACTTTTATTAATCAAAAGGTGCATCATTCTCCTATGACCTCTCGCGAATATCGAGGAGGAAAGTTACTAGTACGCAATAAGATGAGCGTATGTGCAATGAATGAAATGTTTCCTTTTATTTCCTGTCAGATGATAGTAATTAGCCTTCGATCAAAACGATCAATATCTTTGAATCTAAACGAGATAGCGAAATTTGTCTGAGGATCTCTTTTGAAGATTTCAACGAAAGCTGCAAAAAAGGTAATGACAAAAATTTCGCTATGTCTGTTGGATTCAGAGGTATTTATCGAAAACTGAGTTATTGATCAAATCGACTTGTTACCCGTTGATACAGATTTTATTCATTTTTCGCGAATTGTTTTTTTTTGGCGAGGGGGAGGGTGGTAATTAAGATTTGGGAGAGGTGAAGCGCAGCGTTGGGAGGACACGGAAGTGGCACAAGGTCAGGGTCAGTGGATTGAAGGTACCGCGGGTCCGCGAGTTGGATGCTATGGCGCATACATGCACGATAGAGAGCGGAGGAAAGGGAGAGGTGGGCATAGTTGCAGGAGAAAGAGAGATGTGATGGTTTAGGTGGGAAAGTCGCTTCTGTGCCACCTCTCCACCCTTTCAACAAGTGTTATCGGACACAAGAACTGATAGGACAAAACGCCAGGCGCCAACTTTCCGTCGTTCATCACCTGCAGGTAGAATCCGGGAAATTTTCACAATTTTTTGCCGCGATGGTCTCAATTTTATTTATTTATATTGGAATATTAATGTGAGGGGGTAAATGTAAGAAAGTAGTGATATAATTTATCAAATTCAGTTTGCTATCACGTGCAGGGCACCTGGGGTATCGTCGCCTGGAATTTAAAAAAATCACTTAGGGAAAACGGAAAAATAAATGCAATTTTATAAACCGTCTTTGAATATCCCAATAATTTATTTTCAATTATTTTCAATTTATTTATTCAATTGACATTAAACTGATCTAAAAATTTATTATTCATCCTAGAAATTGGCGAAACCTAGAGATAAATTAATTTCGTGTTTAATTTTAAAGTCCATCAGGAAAAGTAGACATTTTAATCTATAAAATGTTAACCCATTCAATATTCAATATTCATGAAATGTGGTTAACATAAAACCCATTCCTGATTATGGCGGAGTAAATGTTAACATCCTGCAATGAATTATTGTTATTTTTTTCTTGTCGATAGTGGGTTTGGGGGATTGAGTTTCTTAGTTGTCTCTGTTGGTGGGCCGCGACGTTGCCGAGTTTGCATCGGTGGGGGACATGTAGAATATGTCGAGTACTTGAGTTGAGGCCATGTAGAGGCCATGTAGAGCCCAGCAACATCGCCCGGGACACATTCGCATTTTGCAGGTGCCGGTATGCGCGCGACTGGGCGCGGTGTTGCCGTATCGACCGCAATGGAAACACTTCGTCGGGTCGGTCGAGCCCTGGCAGCCAGTCTGCCGCAAATCATCCCCAAAAATCATTTTTTGCACCACTACAAATCTCAAATAGGAATTTGCATGCATAGAATTGACGCCCACTCACTCCCACAAAATTACCTTTCGACTTTCCCAATCAATAAATTTCCAATTTTTCAAGATAATTAATAATAATTTGTTTTTTTTTTTTATCATTTCGATTTTTATTTAACTTTCATTTCATTTCATTTTTGTAGAATTCTTTATTGACGGATTACTTCATTATTTTAATAATTGATTTCATGAATATTCTGGGAGCTCTCGATTTTCAAGTCGATTTTTAAATTAATTATATTGTTAATTGGTACTGTTAATTGTGGTTGTTGAATTTTCATCATGAGTCTGAAAATGAAAGTTTTCATGAAAAATCAATTGTATCGAATGCAAATATTTATATTTATGTTGGGATTAAATTTTCTTGGCGAAAGTATTTTTTTATCAGTGCAAGTGTGATAACGGGAGTAAATGGTACACCCCTTTCACGAGGTTTGAGAATTGGTACTTGCCTTCACTCATAGAGAGATATAATTGAGAAAGGAAAGATAATGATAATGACCTCCCAAGCGAGTACAGTTTCCCTCTTTTTGCTTCATTACTTTATTATGTTAATTCTCGTGGTTTTAACTCTTCACTACAATTATCAGTCACAAAATAACGAAAATAGGGGATTATTATTCTCAATTCGCCAATGGAATGAACAACTCGAGAAAAAGTCTCACGTCCCACGTTTCTTTTTACGTGCGAGTCGTGGAAAAATTTAGCAATATGTATGCACTTGGTGACATCCTCGAATTTCCAACGCACACTTTGACGAATGTCTTTCCCAACCGTAAAATATTTCTACGACCCTCGGCCTCCGGTTAATCCTAAGGGAATCCTTTGGGGAAAATCACACTTCGCGATTATAGAGACTTTAACCCCCGGTGCCGCCGTATCTTGCGGTCTCAACAAAATCCAACCGTAAAATTCGCGGAGGTCTGGGTACTACTTCCACTATGGGTATTTTTATACCTTCAGAAATCTCCAGTCCTTCCAACTCTTTCAGATTACTACATCAGACTTCTGGGTGCTCTCCTAAAAGTTTTCGGGCTTCTACCCAACTTTTTTATTGAAACAATAAAATGAAAGATCTCGCATGGTCTATTTTCTTCTAGTACCGAAGGTAGTTTACAATCAATATAAAGCGAATACAAATTAATGCCCCTCGTAATGAGGGACAATAGAAGCCTTCATTTTTTGATGCAAAAAATTGAAACATTTTGGCTCATTTTTTAAATTGAAAAATTAATATTCACTGCCAAATTCCAAAATTCTTCCGAAATTCACTGTAAATTCATAAAAATTTAAAATTCAAATACCTGCATTTTTTATTTATATATTTTCGCAAATAGAATAAATTGTCGTACAACAATAAAAATGAAATATGCAATATTCCACAATTCTGAATATTTATACAAAAAAAAAATCCCCTCTGCATAAAAAAAAAACATAAATAAACGAAAAAAAAATTCTAACCATCCCTTACCACCCCCAGATGACCATCGCAACTAGTACCCCCTGCACCCCGCGTACCTCCCCCAAAATCCATAACCCCCCAACCAATCACCTCAACCATCCACAGGAGACCGTGTTATCTCTCTTCCCCCACTCATGCCCGATATTTTGAGAGACGTCCGTCGATGCCGGCCGGCACTCATTGAATGCCTCCGGTAGGTGCGAGTCTCATTCATTCCCCGGTCGCGTTGCGAGGGAAAAAGTCTGAGCAAACCGAGAGAAGTGGTCCCCGTTTGCACACAGCGCGGGCGGACGAGGCATACACGACAGACTAGAAGAGGGGTAGCTCTGACTTAACCAGAGAGAGAGGGGGAGGGGAAGGGGCGAGTCAGGAGAGAGAGGTGCAGGGGCGAGTAGGTGGTGTGGGGGGAGCATTTGAGCAACAGCAATCAGCTGATCTCTCCAACGACGGCAGACCGCGCGTCGCGTCACTCCTCCCGACCCCCTCGTCCCCTTTCCCCCCCAAAACACTACCTATCAACTCTCTTTCGGTCTACGTCTCTATCTTCGTCCCAGCTCGGCCTTCACCGCTATATACTCACATTGCCCCCTTTTGGCCCACTCCCTCTCCTCCCCCCTTATTTTATTCCACACATTTCCAACCCCCCGGGCCCGGTGTCCACACTCACCTCCCCACCCCAATGCAAAAGCCCATTTCCGCGTCGTCCTCTGACTCCTTCTCCCGTGCCCCTCCCCCCAACACAACGATCAGCTGATTCGAAATACGTCAGTTGTAGCGTGGGCCTTCGCACCGTGCCACGTGCGTTCGATACCATTCTGGATCGCGGGGAATCCGGAGTCCCGGTTTCATCGAGTCTTTGGTCACTGGGGTGATGGGTCGAGTCTGGGGATTTCATTGGGGAGGGGATGCTGGGGATGAGTTCAGGGAGTGGAGGACTGAGTCCTTTTCATGATAAGGGGGCTTGAATTATCAACACGATTTCACTGACTGTTGTCGGGGAATCTAGGGGTGAGAATTCGATGTGTCTGAATTAAGAATTTACTCTAGATTCTTAAAAGGATTCAATTTTTTTTTAAATCGTTATTAAATTATTAATTACGTACTTCCTCTCTCGAGAAAGGAATACGGTATTGAGGGTTGATGATTCAGGATATGACGATGTGATTTGTGATTGTAGGTGAACACGAGGAACGAATGGTCCCTTCTGTGCGAGCAGTTCTACCTTCCAGCCGGGTGTGTCAACAGCGGTGTAGGACTCAAGCAGATTTACCTCAGGTAACGATAGTATACCTCAGTAACACCGTAATAAGATGTCTAATAATAATTGAGGGGTTTATTCGGGTTACTCCCTGGTCCATTGTCTCAAGTTGTCTAGGCCACATTGACCTTGGGAGTTGAGGGTGAACGATCCGAAGTTGTGGCAGAACGAAGCAGAGTAGAAGCGTCGCGGTAGTAGCTTCCTCCCTCCACCTTTCAGTCCAATCGTCTCCCTCCCTCTTTCTCCTGCTGTATCTCACGGCACATTCACGTACGTTACTACTACGACCCCCCCGGATCCCTCTTCCCCTCGTTTTCATTCATACCGCCGGCACAGGCGGCGACGCGACACACGCCAAAGTCACGTGGTGAACCCTGAGTCAAAAGTTCTTTGCCCATGCTATCCGGTCATTCTTGACAGCGAGGTTGCAGTCGAGCATATGTCATTACCTAAAGGCCACTGCCATCCAAAACCGCTGATGGCTCTCATCTCCGACAGCTAATGAACATGTCGTGATGATCAGGGCGTCCTCACAATCCCTCATAATTCCGAATTAAAATCCCGATGTGACTGTTCCAGGTATCTCGATAGGTACGAAAAGGTCCACTTCCTCGGTGAAGATGGACACCAGGGGGATGATGATGATGAGGACTCGAGACATAGAAAATGGTCAGCTAGATCATTGCACTCGGTTCCCCTCACGTACAATCATCATCAGCACAATGTGGCAGAATCTCTCCGAGAATACAATGGGCTCTCGTCAAATCTCTACAAGCCATCAAACTGCGATAAGCTCGCTCTCTCTCTCCTATCACCCCTACCAAACGAACAAGACTTTGCTATAAACGTTTGCGCACTGCTCTCGAACGAGGGCAAGTTCACCCTGAGACTCGACAAGTCCCCGCGTTTGATAAATATTCTCCTTGCACACGCTGGTGTATTCGATTCACCGGGCACCAGGCAACTCTTCATCGAAGTATACTCGCGCGTTCGCAATTACTCAGTAAATTCCTTCTGGTCGGACGTTCTTGATTCACCAGAGGTACTAGATCTCACGAATGAGAAGACATTCATGAAGAAACCAATTGCCGATTTGAATACATTTTCGCGTAGAAAATTCTTGGAGCGAGAGAAGGACAAGAAATCAAAGAAAACGAGTGATCAGATTAATCAGGAAACACCGATGGAGGTGGAAGTGCAGGAGGATGATAGTCAGCGTCTGGAGACACCGTCGATTATAATCGACGATGACACATTCACCGATCAAAACCAAAACTCCATTAAATTCGAGGAAGAAGACAAGGATTTATTCTGCGTTGGTAGAACCCTCGGCACTCAAGATCCTTATGGCCAGCGTGTTCTGCAGATTGCCTCGATTTTTCGTGAACTGAGTTTTACACCTGAGAACGCTGCTGTACTGGGTAGAAATCGTTGCTTTCTGCGCTTTGTTTTACTCTGTGTTAGAGCACGATGGAGCAATCTCCATCAGCTTGGTTTCGATATACTCGGTAATATAGCTAACGAAATGATTCTCAAAGAGGCTGGTGAGAGACTAACTGACTGTGTATTAACGTGTATAGCTAATGGTATTACTTCATCTGATCGTTTTATCGTGATATCGTGTTTAGAAGTGCTCAATAAAATCAGCCAACAGGATAGTAACGAGGAAATTGTAACGTATGGATTGAAAGAGAATGTTTACGAATTGATATGCAGATTTTTGGCACTCAGCGATATTGCATTGTTGGTTTATACATTGGAATGTCTTTATGCATTGACATCGCTGGGCGAGAGACCTTGTACGAGCATCGCGCGGGTACGTGGAGCTATTGATACGTTGGTGGCTCTTATTACTGTTGAAGCACAGAGTTATGGACCAAAAGCTTGTATACTTATGAGAGTTGTTGAGACTGTTTCGACACTCTCTCTGCCAACCTCGAGCACTGGCGGGCAGACTACAACTGTCAGTAATACTGTTAATACAACAGTAAATACAACTTCAGTTGCTACTGTTACAACATCGACTGTTGCTGCTGTCCCCATTACAACACCTTCTGTTGCTACTGCTGCATCAACTGTTGTTGTTGTTGCTGCTGCTACTGCTGCACCTGCTACCAGTCCAGCGCCATCGAGACCATCAACACCTGCAACACCATCGTCTGTTACGAGCAAGGCCAATAGTAAGGCTAGTGTTGAAGCGGCTAATTCGTTGCAACAGCAACATGCACATCAGCAGATCATTCAGGAGAATGAACAGTTTGCCTTGGGATGGCTGAGGATTACTTTTGAACTCGCTACTGGAGGGAGGATCGAGCAGGAGGAGTTGTATAAGAAATATCTGGGGTGCTGCACCAAGATTGGGAGGAGGGGAGTCATTGCTCCATTGCATTTTCCAAGATGTGTGAGGTGAGTTTGGAGGCTTAGTAGTGGCATTTGCTGCTCATTTGGAATGTTAATTTTGGTTTTGTTTTTTAAACAATTTTGTGTGGTTTATTGAGACAGATCCGTGTTTGGGGGTACCGTCGGTCCAAATCCGATAAAAGGGGAAACCACTGGTACACAGTACTACGAGGGTATACGCGTCCGTTCAACAACAACGAGTGTAACACTTCCGAGCCAAAATACTGTGCTGAATGCAACATCAACGACAACAGTTAATTCAACTCCAGTAAAGGTGCTTGCCGTACAACAGCGTACAGTCACACCCACAAGTCCAAATCCCGATAGCACAGGCCCTGAATTATCCCAAAATTCTCAATCAACACCAGCCTCATCTATACTAAAAGCCCACTTGTCAGCTCCACCAAAACCAACCACAAATCTTCCACAAACCCAGAATCCAGTCACCAAGGTTGACTCTAAAAGTCAGGTGGGTCCGAGTCCTAGTGCTCTCTGTAACGTCACACGATTATTCATGACCTTCAAATCTTAATTTAATTATTTTTATTTTAATGGTCATTTAATTATTTTTTTTATTCACCAATTTTTATTATCGTTTTCCTTTGAGGAATTTCCTCGAGTTTATCCTTTTTTATTCTTTCGTCACGCTTTGCATGGATCAAATTATAATATTTGGAGGACAAAAGATTTTAGGGAACATGATGGTATCAACATAGACGCTCGGCCTCTGCCCACATTTCTTATTAATTCTTTCGAGGGGTTTCTTTTCAAGGGCAAGTTTTACTTCTCTTGGACTGGAACGAATTCCTTAATCCTCATGAGGTGGTGGATGATCTTTTTTCGTTTATGTAGTCATTCGATCCATATGTGTTATCTCATTCGTCACTGCTGTAGTTTTGAGAAATCCTGGGGCAGTTCAAGTACAACTTACTACTTAATTTATAAATCGTTTATTTTTCATTTTCCAACATATTCTTCCAATTTTTTTAAATTCATATCAACTACTTCTGTTAATTATAATGGAATAATTCAATTTGAATAATTAATCAATTAATTTTTATTCAATTCTAATTTATTAAAATAATAATTTTTATTAATGGAAATTTTCTTGATCCAAAAAAAACTGTAAGTGGTACTTGGACATTCCCAAACAGCTTCCTAAAATTGTGATTGTATTGCTAGTTTTCCTCTTTGAGCATTTGGTATTTTTTTGTTCTGTGATTGCCGTGTAAATCAGGTGTCAGTGGCGCACCCGCACTTGAGCCAGGCCCTCCTAGCAACTGGTTCACAAACCAATCAGCAACAGCACCAACAAACAAATCAGCAAAATCAACATAGCCCGATGATTAAAGAGGAGTCCCGCGCTGGTCCAACAGCGAGTTCAATAATAAAAAGCCTATTGGCAACAAAGGTAACAGTCAGCGGTGACTGCATGCCCAGTGCCGCTGTCACTTGTGTGTCTACCCCGATTGCCTGCGTAACAAATACTCCTGCTAGCATCGCATCCAGCATCAGTGCCAATCAGCTAACAACAAGCAACCAGGTATCGTTGTTGTTAATTAACCGGAGAGGGAGTCAATGCCCAACAGAATTTAATGATTTTTATTTACAGTATTTGCGTGTGATCCAGCATGTACCACAATAATTCCATTTATACAGTTACAGGGGTCTTCAGTATCTTTTACCTCTTCTATTATTTACATTAGAATAAGTCAAGTACACGTTATTTGTTTCGTTGCCTTGGATTTCTATCCGTAGTTTTTGCTTTTCACGTTTTCATTATTTTCGTTTTCTACTTCTTCGTTTTTTTTGTTGCTCTTTTTTTTTTACTTTTTACGTTTGAGTTTATTCTCATACATTTTGTACCTTCTTCCTTCCTTTCCAATCCTGGTCTCCTCTTTCCCTGTGGATACCCTTTGAGAGGGTATTCATATTGAGAGAAATTTAGATGGAGATTTCATGAGTTTATATTAACAGATTAATGGAATTTCATTTCTGATATTGAATTCAAATAAATAGGGCACTGATAGTCGTTTTTTGAGAATACTAATGAGCATGAGGACGAGTACAGTGGGATGGATGATGCGGAATAAACTTATTGATTGGGGATTTTCTAACAGGTTGCACAACGCCAGCAACAGCAAAGGCTACTGCAGCAGCAATTGGCCAGTGGAGTACAGCCTGCTGCACCTGCTGCCACTCCAGCGAGTCCAGCCCCTGTTCTGAAAGCTCCAGTGAACTCCAAACAGAAGAATGTGTCAAATCCAACAGCTGGAAGAAAAATCCAGAGGTTGAATGGCGCCAAGATTATTGTTGCTAATAACATTGAAAAGGTAAATCCACAAATTTCATTGAAATTCCTTTTTTGAGGTATTAATTTTTTCATCTTTCGTTGTTTCTCTATTTTTTTTACATTCCAAAAGAATCCCGTCATAATCGCTCTCGTTATAGTCGCACCTCTCCTCAATTTTATTTTTCCTGTATTTTTCGGTTCGCCCACTCTACCACCCCCAGGTTACAACATGTAAACTATCCATTATTTCATCCGGTGAGGATCTGAATTCCGTGAGAAATAAAGCCGAAAAATCAATTTCTATTGTACTCGAATTGACTACAAAAAAAAATCAGTTTACGATCGAAACGAGCGTGTGGTCGGAACAGTTGCATACAATCCGATTCTCTCAATTCACTTCCCCTATAATCACATGCACGCGGCTATAACCGAAATCTACTGTTATAAATTTCATTTAATTACCGTCATGTTACCCTGTTATTGACTTATCCCACAATGACTGTTTCAGACTGAAGTAAATGACAATGACTCCCACCCTGGAACCCCCACCACTTCCACAATTCCAGTATCAACGATGACGGAGAATCACATAACAACAACAGTGAAAGTGATAAGACCCTTGACTTCTTCAAAGCCGAATCAACGAGCAATATCCCTCCCCCTAGCTGAGGATTCCGACTCCACCAACAACTCTCTGGCCTCCTCCAGTGGAATAGGAGGAAGCAGGGATTGTTCAGGGGTCGGTGCAGAGGAAGAAAACTCCTTGACAAGCTTCGAGGGAATTCTTCTGAACGGTGCACCTAGTAGTATAGACATCGACGCTCAGGAGGATGGTTCCTCCAAAGATTCATCAGGCATAAGTACGAAGGAGAAGCCACTGATGCTGGCTGACCTCCTGGAACGAAAAATCGAGAAGGAAGTGATTGTGAATGGAGTCCTTGGTAAAAATTCGATAAATGAGAAGGGAAAGGACCTAGTGGAGAACCACATCAAGAAGGTCCTGAAAGACTCTACCGATGTTAAAATCAAACAAGAACCCGAAGAGAACAATTTAATTCAACCAGAGGTATCAGACAACGCTCTGATAGAGCCGCCAAGAGGTATGAAGAGGATGTCAACAGACTCTGATGATCTCGAACTGAAAAAACCGAAATATTCGAATGGCACAACGTCCCCTGAGCCCACAGACCCTACAGCCGAGTCCACAGTCTCCAGCATAAAATCAGAGAAATCAGAGGACCAAGAGGACGATAAAGACAGTGAGCAGGTAAAAGTCTCATCGACAGCGGCGAATTTATATGCTGCACTAGCAGCTGATTGTATAGAAGACGAGACAGATTTGGAAGAGCCGGTAGTTGTCAAGGAGGAGCCAGTGGCCCCGCTGATAAAGGAAGAGCCTCTGGCTAGAGCTTTCATCAATAATCAAGTTGAAACGATTCAGCCACAGCCCCAGCCTCAACAGTTAATCGTCACAGCACCGAGACAGATTGTCGTTCAACAGGCCATTCAGAATAATCAAATGATAATCCCAGGGGGACAAATGAAGGCTCGAGCCAATCCTTCTCAGCCACAGGTTCTTCTCCAGCAATCTGCTGGTGGACAACTTCAGTATGTTGTCTCGGGGGGTGTTCCAGGGCAGAATTACGTGCTAGCACAGTCTCAGACAGCTCTGGTTCAAGGTCAAGCACAAACAGTACTGGTGGCACAAACAACCCAGCAACAAGGGACTGGTACCAAAACAATTATCATTCTGCAATCACAATCAGCAGCTCAGCAGGCACCTCAGAAGATGGTTGCTATGACACCTCAGGGACAGCAGGTTGTGGTTACACAAGTGCCAAGACCTATGATTCAAAGTTCAATTGGTGGTATACCACCACCACTGGTCCCATCATCCACTGGTTTGCAACAGGCTTCGATAATTGTCAATAGCTCTGTGGCACAAAGCAATCAGGGAACTGTCACTGTCACCATACCAACTGTGGCACAACAGTGTCCTATTACGAGTAGTGTACCCTCGAGAGTTGTTACTCCAACTCCTGCATCAACTCCACCACCAACCAGGCCAACCACTCCTCATCAAGCTGCTGCCACTCACGGAGGTGTCAAATCACAGATGAAGGTTGTCAAAGCTTTCAGCACATCCACCAGCACCTCCACCGAGCCTGAAAATAAACCGTCAACCAGCACTCCAGTTAATACTGAAACCAAGACAATTACTATAAAAATCGATCCTAATGCTTATTTGTGCGAGTGGAGGGGGTGTCTCAAGCAGTTTAAGACAGCACATGAGGTTTATCTTCATGTTTGTGAGGCACATTGTCCCACTGGGCCTGAGGAGATTCTCTGCTTGTGGGCCAGTTGCGATGGTCTCAAGAGGAGGCGGTTCTCTTTGATGACGCATTTGTATGATAGGCACTGCAATGCTGACAGCATGACCCAGAGGAGAAAACAACTCACTGCAGCTGGCAAGACGGAGATGACCACCACAACTGCTTCGACCCAGCATCCTGGGTATGCACCCAATGCTGCGTTCCATGCCATCAAGAGACATGCTCTCGAATTTGTCAATCCGAAGGAGTTGATGGTGAGTTTTTCAGGGGATTCATTCTTGGATTGTGGGGGAGATGTCGGTGATAAAGTGGATGATTTTATTGATTCCCTTGTGGTTTTGAATTTAGCTTATTATGGATTTTTTAAAATTTATAATTCTAAATTGATAAGATTATTAATTATTAATTTTTCCGCCGTTTAAATCCACTTCATTACTGACTCAAACTTGAAAAATTTGAAATAGCTATTTAATTCCATTGCAGCAATTCCAAGATAATGTTTTATAATTAATCTATTTATCTCTTGAGACTAACATCGGTTAGGCACTGGTTATTCAACTGGTTATTTATTAACTTGTATAGAAATGGAAGAGTCTCTGCTATCTACTTTCTATTAAAAAAAAAACCAAATTGGACAATGAATACATTCTTAACACTGGTATTTCTTCTCTATGGTAATGCAGCAAAGGCCAACCAAGCCGGCTGCAACTATCGCGAGCTCCTCTTCTCCCCGACTTGGGCAAAATCCTCCACCGAAACAGGTAAACTCAATGAAGAGAAGTGAAAGAAAATCGTTCATGTTCATGCTTTCATCGTGATGCTGCTTGTGTTCACGTTTTATTTTTCTCCCAGCCTGATCATTGAATTTTTTTTAAATATACCTGTCGTCTCTACGCATGTCATCATTTATAATTTATGCATCGACTGTGTGTGTGTGTCTGTTTTTTTTTCATCCGAATTTATCTAGCTCATTGTATTTTTTTTTTCTCCCCAGTGAGAGTATGTGATTGCTTTTCAGAACATAATGTTTAAACCAGTAATACTTGAAAGGCCATGATATCTCACAAAGATTAAAATTTTTCATTAAAAACAGTTTATGTGTCCGCATGCTTTATGGAACTCATTCGCATTAACGTCAAAACCAAGTACTTACGCACACATTATCATAAAGGAGTGATACGATTCATATCTGTTGTTCTGTCTATTCAGATGGAAAATTATCGTCCTTTGAATTGTCGTGAATATTTTTTACAATGAAAACCATTGTTTTCAGGATGACAATGAGGGTCCTGTGACGAAAAGTATTCGCCTGACGGCAGCTCTGATTCTTAGAAACCTAGTCATATACTCTGCACATGGAAGAAGGTGAGGAAAAATTTTAGATTTAGATTTTTTTTTATCTCTAACCAATAAATAATAATAAATTCGAATTTAATTTTCTTCAATTGCCCCGATTGTAATGAAAAATAAAGTGGAAGAAAACGGTTTAAATATTTTTCTTAATTCGCAAATTTTTTTTAGTCATATTTTTTTCCTGGAGAAACATAAAGAATTGAATTTTTTGAATTAATTTGCAGGCACCTACGAACATATGAACCTCACCTAGCTAGCGTTGCTTTGAGTAACGTTGAGTCCTCACGGACAATAGCACAAATCCTTTACGATCTGAATGATGGGAGCAACAGCAGCAGGTGACCTCTCGAGCCAGGCCTCTAACTGATAAAGACGTACGAGGGCCTCATCAATTGAGGCAAGTCCCATAAATGACCCTTGGGTTATCATTGACGCAGCAAATGTCAAAGTGAAATGAGAGAATTGGAGTAATAAGAGCCACGGAGGAGATGCAGCAATGTTCCATAACAAATGAGGCCTACAAACTTACATGGGCAGACAGAAACGATTGCCAATTTAGATTGTAATTTAAACAATTAAAATCACAAAACAAACAACAAACGAACTAATTAATTCTTAGTGTCCAATGGAGAAATTAAATATGAATGAAATATTAACAATACATGAACAATGGTTTAGTTAATGGATTGCCTGTGCGATAAGGAATGTCTTACAACAGTGATAATGATAACAAAAAACGAGAGATGATTCAGATTTAATATTAGTATTTATTTTCTCAAAAGGAAAACGAGGGGGAAACCAGGATGGAGCAATGCTTTTAGAAAAAGTGTACAAAAAATAACGATTGGTGGGACGGAGTTGATGGAGAAAAATTACGAATGTTATTACGATTATTAGTGTAACTTTGATTATTATTAATGAACAATTTTTTTTCTTTACTTGTAGCTTGGCAGAACGAAGTGATTGATATCAGAAAGTGTTTTTATCGAATGTTTTGTTGAATTAAATTTTTTTTTCTCATTTTTTTTCGTCGTGGTAATTCGAAGTGGAGGAAAAGTTACGAGGAAAAAAAATAATAAGTGAGGAAAAGCACACTCATTGTTGAATTTCATATCACTGCAGGAATAATTACCCAAAACTAGGTTTAAATCAAGTCTCTTGACGTTTACGTCAATACGAGAGGTGAATGAGAAATAAATAAAAAAAAATTGTAGAATGGTTTATGTTTCAGTTTCAGGAACAATTCAGAACTCATTGTTTTTATATTTACAAACGGAAGAAAAATCGAAATAATTGATAGTTGTTGTATGAGAGTAATTCAATGTCCATTGTATTTCTCTTCTTTCTGAGAACTCGTTGAAAAAGATAAACGAATAAATAAAAAAATGTGTGCGAGGGCAAATACTTGAGCATTTTTCCCAAGTGGTAGAGCAAATGTGGGAGTGCGTGCTATCATATATATTTTTTTTCTAAATCTCTCGTCATTGTGAAAAATCATCGTTAAACTGAACAATCCCAGAGTTGCGTCATGAAATGATGGCAAAGGAATTAAGATACTGTAATAATAATATTCTCCTATTGAAAATAAAAAAGAATGTTTAAACGAAGAGAAATAAATATCGAATGAGTGACATGAGAATCGAGAAAGTAGGTTGCATTTACGTCATTATTTATCACGAAAATTCTCTGATAAATTTTTAATTAAATGAGAAATCCCGAGACAGTGATTTCACGAGAAACTCAAACTTATATTTGTATATAAATTACATTCACGTGTATTTCATCTATCTATTGACATTCTTTCGTTATGAGCAAATGATGATTAATTGAATTAAAAAAATGTTCGTGTCAAATCATCCCAAGGAAAAAAATCCAATTGTCGTGGATAATTTTCTTCGAATGTTTTTTTCTCCTTTTGCTGACAAAAACAAGATTAAAAAAATTCAATAAATGAATATGTTAATTCAAGTGTCTGTATTATACTAGGCTTTAATGACAAAACCGTAGAAGTTGCAAGGATAAAGAAAAAACAAAAGATTTTTGTAATTATTTAAAATAAAGCAGAAAAAAAAATTGAAAAAAAAAACAAAGATAGGAAGAGATAAAATAGGCTACGCCTACAATAGGCTGCAAGGGCACAGCCCTTTGAATAATGTTTAAGAATTGAAATAAAAAGGTAAAAAATGAATTAAAAAAAACACTAATTGCTAATATCTAAGTGTAAACAGCGGATCCCTGACGAGCCTCGATCATGTATTTTATATATAAATATTATATATATAAAATAAGTTTAGCTGAACGTCTAGGAAAAGGAAGAGCAATGAAAAAAAAACTTGTGGAAAAACGAGAGGCTTTTTATTTTTATCATTTGTAACTAACTAGTTATTTCGAGTGTTGGACATTTGAACACTGAATACGTCGTAACCTATTCAATGATTACTTCAAAGAAAAGATTTTAAATATGACAGCGAGTCAACTGAGGAACTAAGTGAACAAATGAGGCTGTAAAGGATTGCAGTGAAGGATGTAATAAATGGTTAAAAAATGAAAATTAACTTAACGAATAGAACTTCAATTCTCCCCTGTCGAAACGATTAAGCAAATCTTTCACTAAAATGAGTCCTCCAAAATTTATTACAATAGGCTCAAAAATTATTACAATCCCAATTTTTTAAATATTTACTCATTCAATAAGAACACTTTGAGGAATATTTTTCACAATTATGTTAAGACCTCCTCTGCTTAGGGCTGGAGGGAAGATCGCGGTACGATTTACTGGATCCAGAGTTATAAGAGTGATCAGGTAATGAATGGAAAACCATGGGGTCTTGAATATCTACAGGATCTCTTCCAGCCCGTGGTGAACCCTGTGATGACGAAGAACTGGAGGAAAATCCAGAGTATATGATGGTTCGAACAGATGTACCTCTAGATTCATGACTGTCACGAGAATTATCCTCAGCCCTGGGAGAAGCGCTTTCTCTCAATCGTGTGGGAATTCTACTCCTGTGGCCTTTATCGCTCAACCCATCCACAACAGTTTTCGAGATTTTCACCTGTCGAACCTGGCCCCCAGACGATGGACTCGTTTTTTTAAACACTATTTTCTTTGTGGAGGTTCTCATGACAGAACCCTCTTCCTCCTTTAGTTCATCTCTAGGTTTCACCTCGATATTATCATTAAAATCGATCTTTCTTTTTTTCGGGGTCGACATTCTCGGTGGATGAAACATTCCCTCCTCCACATCTTCAAGGAGACCCACTGGCGGTTGCCTGTTCTTCGGCTGAGGTAAACTCGGATAAATCGTCTCGTCGAGGCTCTGCGACTTCATCACAGAATTTATCATTTCCATCTGGTGCTTCATGTCTCGAGTGTGTTCCTTCACTTCCGTCAATAATCGTACCAAATCCAACTCACCCTCGTGTCCCCCCAGATCTATCTCACCATTACCCTGAGGCAAAATTTTATCCTGATAATTTAGTTCCCTCCTTTCCACCTCTTCACGTTTTTTTTTTATTGATTTTTCCAATTTATCTGGTGCTTTAGCGATTTTTTCAGTTTCCTCGTTTTTTTTTATCGAGTAATTGCCTTCAGGAGGAAAATCCGTGGATTTTTCAGATCCTGGACAATTGGGTAGATTATTTTCATCGACCCCACAGCCACAGGCCTTTTTACCCTTCGTCTTCTGTTTCCTCGCCTCTGGAATCTCGCCAAATCTCTCCCGTCCTCGCTCTGCTCCAGGGGAATCCCCAAGTGTCTCAGGAGGTGCTGCATTCTCGTTTCCCTCTCCAACGTCTGACACCTTGACCTTCAGCTGCTTTCTGTCGTCATCTTCATGGAGACTCGTGGTAACGCACAAAGTACCTGAACCTGGAACTGATATCGTCTGGTGGGAGGTTTCACCGTTCTTTAAACCTCTTAATTGGACAATTGCATGGTCTACCTCCGAAGGAGTTGAATCTGTTGTGAAATACCAGTATTTCATGAGTCTATTGATTTGTCAGGTGCATTAATCCATTATACATTTTACTATGATTCCCTGTACACTTGCAAAACTGCGAACCTTTGTACATAGTTCCTGGGGCTCTGGGGAGTCTGTGACTCTCTGGTGACTCCGGGGTCACCGGTGGTGCCCGAGAATTAGGTTGCACTGGACTTTGAGCGAATCTAGTAATTATCATCAGTGAATAATCTGTACGATAATTAATAGTACATCTCATAAAAAAAAATTCTCAGCGCCTTAATTTTTCTATTATTTTCTTAATCATTTCTTAATTATTTCTAGTAATTCGATGGCTTTTTGGTAATTATTCTAGGGTCCTAACGACGTTTCAGATAACGACGTTCAAGTCGAAATTCAGGCTCTCGGGTGTCGAATTCAACGATCTGCAAACAGAAAAAAAAATTCATTGTGAGAGAATTTACCTTGAGGACATTTCTTGGGAATTAGGCGATTGGTGGAAGCGAACTGGTTGGACGCCTGGAGGTGATTTCCCCTCATCAAAGTGTCTAATTGAGAAAATGGTGTGAGTAATTAGTGATGGAGTTGCGTTAGGAGAATTGGTTTTACCTTCTGTGCTCTTCCTCTTTTCTAGCACGATTGAATCTCTCGTTCGTTACTTCTGTCCGAAGCTCACTGATTTGTTTGCTGTACTCTGCTGCTTGATTCTGATATCTACGGAGTTCCGCTGATTCAGCAGATCTGAAATTCATTGAATCCACATTGACGAGAGAAATAATTAATATAATTCGTTCACAAGAGAGAACGACACAAAATACAGTTCTTGTTGATATTTAGGAACTAAAAGGAGATGCAGAGATTTTTATTTTTATAATTTATCACTTACGTAAAAATTCATGATAACTCACAATTTATTCTGTAATTCGCAGACTCTCTGCTTGAGCCTTGCCATTTCATTCTGGAGTTCTTGATTATGTGTCTGGCAATCGAGACTCTCTTGCCTTGCCTGATCAAGAAGTGCCTCCATCCTGTCGACAGTCAGATGATCTCTATTCATCTGCTCCTGGACAATATTCTGCTCGGCCCTGAGCCTCGAGATTTGCGCCTCATATTGTGTCTTCATTGCGTTCCTGTCCGCCATCTCTTTCATCAGACTCTCCTTCTGTTGATCTAGCTTCACACAGAGATCTCTCACAGCATTGAGGTCAGCCTCAGTTCGTGCCCTCTGCTCAGTCTGCTGTCGCACCTGAGTCTCAAGACTCGCGATATTTTGAGTTAATTCAGTGATTTGCGTCTCGTATCCACGAATTAGACAGTCCTTATCTGCTAATTCACGTTCAAAATCGACAATTCGATCTCTAGCTGATTGCAGAGCTCCTCTGGCCTCTGCCGCCTCGGACTCGAGACTCTGATTATTATTCTCCAGGACAGTTGCCTCCAGACTCAGGCTCCTGAAGTGATTCAACATTTCTGTTCTCTCGTTCTCTTTTCGATTGAGCAACTCCTCAGCTCTTCGCACCTCGCTGACATATGTCTGGAGTTGGCGTTTTAAATCGTATGATTCAGCTCGAGATGTCTCGAGCTCTCGCTGGAGAGTACGAATTTCGCAGGTGAGGGCTGCCAAGTCGTCCTGGAGACGACGATTCTCCTGAGCTGCATTGTCACGATCAGCTGAGGCTACTGCTAGCTGTCTCTGATTGTTCTCCATCTCCATCTGCATTGAACGCAACTGACGTTCCTGCTCTGCACTTTGATCCATGCAGATCCTATTAAAGTATTTCATATATATGCAGTTAAGAAAAAAATTCAATCTGGTAATGAAGACTGTAAATCAATCTCTTATTTCTCTACGTCAAAAAGATTTCCCATGCGATAAGTTCGCGATGAAAAAAAAAGAGTCGCTTGACATTTCGTAATGTCAGCACGTGCGAATCAATAATTGAATTAATTATCAACCGATGAATCACGGAATTAATTAAAGATCTCATTAAGTCACGTCAGGTCACTGATATTTCTTTGAATTCAGGACAAGGATACTTGGTAATCGATTCCCTGAATTAAAATCCTTAGAAATGACATTGCATAAATTTTTGCTCAATATTACATGGGGAAATCCCAGCGAACTCCGGAGTCATCCGGATATCCCATAGAATATCCCAATAATTAATATCGAAGGTCGAAATAACGCAGTGGTTTTCCCTAGCTTTCCAAATGCTACAGGCCTCATCAACTCGAAACTCCTCTTCACAACGTCTGACGATATTTGATTACTTAATCTAAAACCACTGACTGGATGGGAAAGAATTATAGAAAGAATTATAGAAATATCAAAGGTTGATCGACCATGTAATTTGATGTAAAACTCCAATGGAAAGTGAATTCGATCGAGGAAGAGGAAGTGCATGTCATGGACCAGACGGCTCTCCCCGATGCGCCTAAAAGAGTCATTCGTACAAGTCAGGAAGTCATTTTCCGCTGGTTTGAATGAAAAATGCAACTAGCAAAAAATATAAACAAATCCGTCAAAACCACATTATTGATTAAAAAAATATAAATCTTAGGACGAAAAGAGATTTTTTACGAGAAAAAAAACTTCTGCCAAGTAAATGTATATGAATAAATTTGCATTTAAAATGTATGGATTTTCTTAGAGTCGTCAAATAAATTTAACAGACGGATTTTCTATTCCTGTAATTAAACCAACAGCAGAATGATTCGTAAAAAAAGGCTGACGCTACGAGATTGCCCATTGGTCTGATAAAAACCAGTATTACGTAATGGTTTAACCCGTATTACAGTAAGAGGACTCCGAAGTTGTTGAGAAGGAAGGAAAAAGCAACGACGAAGAAGTAACGAATTGAGTGGCCATGGGGAAGCCCTGGAACGACTTTCACCTCTACCTTGATGGCATAACGGGAGATGGTTTGATGAGGAAAAATAGTACGAGATGATGCCCCCATGAAAGTGAAAACAATCAGCAAGAAAATGATTGTCACTTGATTCTCTGGGGTAATTAATAAGTCACATCACCTCTTCTTCATCATGATCGAGGACTTCCTGGTCACGTAATGCGATCATCCACCGTGAGAAAAGTGCATCCGGAAGTTGCAATGGTGGGCTTATTTTCCTATGAATAATAGGAATAAAGGGAAATAGAAAAAAAATGGGGAAAAGAGAATAGCTGTTGAGTCACGCGAGTGCATCGCACTCGGATACATCAATCAATGAGTTTTATTATTCTTCTCAGTCGATTGCATCACTAGGCATAACAGACTCTTTCCATGGGACTCATCTCCATGTGTACCGTTATATTGAAAAGGGCTATGACACGGAATTGTTTCAACGGTGATTCAGCCTCTGCAGCGGGTTCGTCGGATTCTTTCGGGGATTCTAATGGATTAGCTTTTGGGAGAACTGGAGATTTTCCAGGATTCAGATATAATTTTCCTATGGACAAGTCAATTCATCAATTCTTCATATTATTCTATCTCCTTTGCGATATCAGGCGGTCAAAAAATGTAGTTTTAATATAAGATCAGACTTGAGATTTACTAGCCAAGCGTAAAATAATACTTTCAAGTTCCATTTCAGTTCAACACCTGAAAATTATGATGAACCATTGTGATTAATTATAATTAATTGCCAAATTCGTTGACCCCGATTCGGGAACGGCATTGCAAATAGTAAAGTGTGAAGAAATAGTGTTTTCTATTTTGAAAATGGTCATTTTGAAGAATTGATATTCAAAATCGAAAAAAGTTGGTTTTCGCTGGGTGAATATAAATGCGATGAAAAATGGGCAAGAGTGACTTGGAGAGTAACAACGCAATCGGCGTGGAATTTACCCTCTTTGGGTGCCGAAAAAAAAACTAAAGTCCTTCACTTTCAGGAGGTGAGACGTGTTACGTAACAAGTACAGAAAATGAGTCGAGAGCAGTTGGAAGGTTTGACGGTGGTTTCAGTCTATCCAAGCTACTCCAACCGTCGAGACACGTATTAATCTCGAGGAATTCCTTATCGAAACGACTACATTCATCCATCAGAAAACCACCTAAAGCTATTAATTCTTTACTGAATTACTAAATCATCGGTCATAAATATCCAGTCACATCGACAAAATAAGCGAATAGAAAAATCCAAAATACAGTGTTATCTGAATTTTCGAAGTGGAAATTGGAAATTGTTCTTCGAAAAATGGTGAATTTACGGTAAGGAAATTTTTTTTTTTCGCGATCTCATGTGCGAATTTATAATTCAGGAATATTTCTCCAGCGCACTGAGACTCATTTCGTTTATCGACTTTCGAAATAATTGGAGATTGCGTAAAAGATCCCGTAATCGATTACGAAGAGTCGATATCAAATAAACCGGCACTCGTAAATTATCGCATTTTATTCACCTTGAGCATGTAATTCATCGAAATATCGTCATTAAAGGAAATCGACGCTCAGAATATTTCGATTATTTCTAGTAACTTCAAGTTGACAATTGATTGCTCAATTGAATCAAAAACTGCCCAGGTGATTGACTTGATTGACGAGACAAGTAAATCAAATACTGAAGAATAATAATTTTTCTGTATTTTCCGATCTACAACAGACCCAGCGAGATACAACAGTTTTTGCACGTGACTCGTTCATTAAAAATAGGAATAATTAATCCCCACCTCCGCAATCTATTTTTATCCCGAATTTACCTGAATCTGGTGTCATCACCACAGGGAAGACAGCAATGCGGACACATGGGACGGCATGATTCCATAATCGTGAATTTAATTCCCCAGCCCCCATTAATCCACTGAAACCCTCCAATCAAAGAATTGTGAGTTATCAGGTTATACTCATGATTTAACTCAATCCAAAATGATTCGATATGTCAAAAGGTCCCTTAAATTAAACAAAGGAGTAGAGCTCCAAAGAAAAATTCATAATAAAATTAACCCGGAGGCTGTCGTACAAAACTTCAACCTAATACCAATCGGAATATTCCCATGAAATATTTAAACATAAATTTCGGTTTAAAATAAAATTTTCTCCAAGTGATATGCATCATCATCGTGGAAAAAAAATTAATTGTAACGTGAAAGTACGTAATAACTCGTGATTAATTCATCCCACTGCCCCATTGCCTCTTAATTAATCCCTTACATAAGAACTATTTTTTCCTGTTACTGTTTCGTGATAAACTCTATGTGATGACTCTTGCTATGGAGATTCAATCGATTTATTAATTCAATCACTTTCACCTGGAGTGACCTTCTGCACCGAAGGACGGAAATCATTTAATTTGAATTCAAATGCATGACACAACAGTATCACCATGATAATAAAAATATGGTTTGTCGACCAGACCCAATCGTGTTTATTGATCTATTTTTTATAATAAATTAAAAGCATCAACTGGACTCGAGTGAGAAGTCGACGAAAGGGAAAGGAATATCAGTTATAAATATTTCGTCTAATAGTCGAATTTCGTGGTCGGGAATTTGGGGGAAAACCAGTTTTTTTCATGTGAGAATGAGAAACTGCTCGTTAAAACCCACTTAAGAGCCCCGTGATGAGTAAAAGAACGAGATTTCTACGTAGAAATAAAAGAAATGAAATGCGGAGAGATAAAAAAAAAAATAAAACAATGGTGGGGATTAAACAGGGTCATTATTCCACATGCGTTGGTCATCCCTGTCCACTGGGGACAATGCCATTGCAATAACGAAACAGTGAAAGTATATAGTCTTTTTTTTATATTTTACATTCAAGCAATGAGACTGCTCTCCATGTGAACGCCTATTGCCACTTATTTTTCCCCGGTTTAATGCTCATTCCCGTTTTTATTTCGAATAATAAAATATTGTAGACCTGTTAAAAAATGCTTCATTATACTGTCTAATTTTTCGAGATTTATAATGACGTTTATCTGGTTTGAAATTATTGAATCCAATATAATTTTTTAATTGAAATTGAAATTATTTTTATTTGTAGGAGGATGCAGGTACTGTTTGCTTGTCTTTTGTGGTTTCTACTGATGGCAAATGCCAAGTCAGCAATTGTACCGCCGCCCTGGGCAAATCCTCTGCGCAATCCTTGCGCTACTCGACCGAGAGGATGGCAATTGCTCTATTGGGCAGATGATGGAAAATGTTATAGAATATTTCAGGTATTTTATTCAATTGAATAATAGGTATTATATCTTCACTCGCGTCGGTATAAAATCAAAACAAATCAAAACAAATCGATTATAACATGAATAATTAATAATCAATCATTCAGATCGGTGCCCCTTGCCCAGAAACGATGGAGCTGGCACCCTCAGCAAAGGGTGACGGAGTAATAGCAGAATGCAGATGTCCTCCAGGTACTGCCCAGTCCCCCAGGGATGCATTATGCCATCCGATATTCACCAGGGCTTCCTGCCCAAAGGGCCAGTACTTCGCCCCTGTTCCAGAGCCCCTGAATGATTCAGGGTAAGTCTGAAACTCTCCAGTGCACCAAAGAACGAAATAACAGTAAATATTTCCAGGAGTAAGGGTCGATGGGGTGTTTGCCGGACCCCGGACCCCTGCCGACGAAGTGGACAACTGTTTTTCCCCCGCGATGGCAAGTGCTACGATAAATTGACTCGTGGGCCTTGCCCCAGTGGTGAACTGCTAACCCTCGATGAGAACAATTTGGCGATTTGTTCCTGCATCAATGAGGGGGAGTTGGGAATGTTCTATTGGGGAAAAGAAGACCCAGGCTGCTATGAACATTACACCAAGGGACCCTGCAGTGAACCTGGGGAGATATTTTTGCCTGGAGGTACCTGTGGCTGCAACCCGAAGCTGCCACATTTTCACCGGGAGACCGAGAAGTGTTATCCACTCGGTAAATTCTTCTTTAATTTACTCCTTCTTCTTTATACTGTCTTTTTACTTTTCCTTTCTCTAAAAAAATTGTATTTTCCCTAAATTTTGTTGTATCGATCATCAGGAGGATCAGAACCGTGTCTCCCGGGCCAGCACTTCGCAATCCCTCGATTTGAGACACCAACAGACGAAGAGATCCACGGAAAATGCGAATGCCAACCCAATTACATCGAGTACAAAAATGGTTTGTGTTATCGGCCGTACACTCGCGGTCCCTGTCCCCCAGGTGCCATGCTGTTGAACTCAACAACGTGTGTACTAATTCCCTGTAAGCGCGGACGACTATATTTTGCCCGAGAGAGAGGTTGCTACAAGATAGGATCAAAGGGCCCCTGTTCAGCTGGCCAGGTAGTCTTCTTCGACTACTCAGTCCGTCCCTCGATCGATGGTATAAGTTACCACGGTATCTGTGGAGACGCCGGTACTCTGGAGTTATCTGAAGACCAGACAGACTATAACTCCTGTGAGAAATCCCTGGGGATGTTTCTCATCAACGGAACCTGTTATAAACTCTATACTCAGGGCCCCTGTGGTCAGGGTGAGTGGCTAGTTGCCAGAAGACGACCCAGAATCAACGAAATGTGGGAACGAGAAAAATCCATCAACAAAGTCAAATGTGAGTGCAGACCTGGATACATAAGGACTTCTGACAATTATCAATCCCGGGATATTGAGACAAATAACCTGAGCTCCTCGGGAGAGTGCCAACCACCTGCTGTCAGAGTCGCCAAATTTCTCAATGAATTAAGATTATCAGCTAGATCGACTTGATTTTTTCATCTTATCGAGAACAAATCTCATTCTGTGATTTTTTGAGATTTTTACGAAGTCTTTTACAATTTTTAATTGTAAACAAAAGTATTTTCATAGGTTTAGGGCGATATTTATTGTTATTGATATTTGTGTGGTGATGTAAATAGAGATCTTGTAAATAGAATTTTCGAGGTGTTGAGACGTAATTTTGATTTTTTTGCGAAATTTTGGTACTCACTGGTATTTATGCTGGGCCTCACGCACTTGCTGCTCAGTCCCCATCGTTTGTTGCTCTTTTGAAATTATCTCACGTTCCAGGGCTGCTATTCGCTCGGTTTTATTGTCCAGCTCCATCTGGAGATTTAGAGAAATAATAATTGCAATTAAAACAAAGTGAATTTAAATTGACAGGTGATTAAGCTAACTGATGGAATTTTATATAGTTGAGTGATCAGTGGCATTTAATTAGGAGATGTGGGCGTGAAAAAATTATTGCTCACCAGTAATTGATCTTTCTCCTGATCCAATCGTGCCATGTTAGTTCGCAGTGTATTGATCTCCTGCTTGAGCTCCTTCACCTGATTATCCAACTGCAACTGCTGCTGCTCTAAACTTCTATTGCGTTCCATGGCCTTCGATAGTTCACCCTCTGATTGACCCAGCTGACTCTGCACGTCACCCAGTGCTTGATCCGTTTGATCTTGCAGTGCCCTGTGTGCAAATATGACCCAGATATTTCATTCGATTGTCCATGATTTACCGAGAGGAATTTTTCTCAATAGAATTGTTCAATGGATTTCAATTTATTTTTTCAATTGGCAAATTCCATTTATCTTACTATCATACAAAAAAATTACCTCAATTGAAAATACTGAGTTCTCTGGCTCACCAGCTCCTGCTTCGTTCTCCTGAGCTCTTCCCTGGCTTCTTCGAGTTGTTCTTCAATTCCTGCAATTGCTGTTCGCCTCGAGCCCTGTGCAAGCAAAAGCTCTTGTCTCTCCCTCTCGATCTCCTTCAATCGGCTTTCCAACTCTCGCCCATTATCTCTCAGGCGACGTTGTTCATACGTGTGGGCTTCAGTAGCCATCTTCAATCTCTCTCTGAGGATATCTCTTTCTTCAATTAAACGCTCGACGTCACTGCGTGCAGTGTCTCTTTCGCGTTCTAATCGGGAACATAACATCCGCGAGCCACCAATCTCCTGTCGTGGTGGCAATGTTAAACAAACACACGGCCCTACGGATCTGCACTGATTACAAACTTTACAAGGACTCGATCTATTCCTGCACCCTTGAAGTCTCGACTCCAACTCAAACTTCTCTCTGCATAACTCTCTTTTCTCCCTCTGGAGTTCCGTCACCCGTATCTCCTTCTCGTTCAATTGATGCTTGAGATCGCAAATTTGACTCCAGAGCTCATTGTCAGATCGTGAATCCTTTTTCAGTCTATCCATCTCCTGTTTGCAGTAATCAGTCTCCTTTCGAAGCTGATCGACCATCTTCTGGAGTTCGATTATCTTTCCATCTTTCTCCTGGATCAATTCTCGCATCAACTCCGATCCAGAGTTCCGTTTCTCTTGAACTGGAGGAGAAAGAGATCTCCTCTGAACCTTGGAACCTGAACATATAAATCAAGAAATACCCCAGGGTTTATTCCAATAATTTGGGAGAAAAAAAAGGAGAATGGAAGAGGAAAAAATGAGTTTCTGCCAAAGTACCGTTCTTTTTTTTAACACCTTTCCCAAGATTTCTATCATTTTTATCACCTTTGTCCTTCGAACTCCTAGAATTACTGTTATTAATGTCCTGAGGACTCTCACTGCTCATTTGCTTCTTCAGAGATTCATTCACACACTCCAATTGCACAAGCTCATGCTTCTGTGTTTCGTTAAGTCGAGACAGTCTTTCAATCTCTGCATTGAGTGTCTCTTCTGGAATAGTGAAGGTGAGTGCAGGAGGAAATATTAAGGCAGTGAACAACCGCAGACACAAGCATTTCTAATTAGAAAAATATTCCCCAGTATATTCCTAATTCCTAACTATTTTCAGTCAATTCGAAAACTATTGATTTTATCTCGAATTTAATGAGCTACAAAAAAAATTTTTCAACGTTTTCGCTTCAAATCGATAATGAAATAATTTTTTTAAACGAATATTTCTAATAACGATGGCAAATATAGAAATTCATACCAATCAAAGTTAATTCATTAATCCTATCAGTCAATTTCTTCTTTTCCTCCGCAGTGGAATCCAATATCTTCTGCAGACTCCTCTTCTCGAGCCTGCAGGCCTCTAGATCAGCCCTGAGTTCCTGGGAGGCCCTTTTCTCCACCAACAAGTCATTCTCCAGATGGCTGACCTTAGCCAGAGCACTTTCCAATTTTTCCTGGATATGACTGACTCTGCGATTATTCTCTTTAACTGTAGAATTGCAATCAGCCTCAACAGCCAGAGCGATATGATCAATATCCTTCAACTCTTTCTCCAATTCTTCATTTCTCTCCGCCAGTTTCATGGCCTGGGACATTGCATCGTGCTGCTTCTCAAGGGCCTCCTTCAGCTGCTGCTCCAAATTCCCCTTGACCTGCTGCAAAACCTTAATCTCATTCCAACAAGCCTCACCACCTCGAGAGCTCTTTCTGCTGGAATTACACTGTATGCAATTGGCTTCAGCCTGTCTACAGCTGCAATCTTTGGAGACAGCCAAATAAGGTCTCCCCCCCTCCAACATCTTCCTCAATCTGTTAATCTCCTTGCCCTTGAGAACTAACTGTGTCCTCAAGGTGTTGGCATTGTCACACTGGAGCCCCAATTCTCCTTTGAGTTTTGCCACCTCAAGACTCAGAGATGCTATTTTTCTGTCCCCCATGGCCACCAGATCCACCAGCTCTGGTTTCACTCTACTTAAATTTCCCAGAGACACAGACCCTTTGAGCGCCTCTTGGGGAAGCACGTCCCCTTCGATCAATGGTTTTCTCAGAGGAAATGTTGGCTTTCTTCTCGCTGAAAGACTCGCGTTACTCACAATTGGTTTACAGCATTTTCCCAGTAACTCCTGAATCCTCCTGGATTTGTTTGATGACTCAACCTCCAGGTCCTTTATTCTCTTCAAATTCCTGGATGACGCGAGCTGGAGATCACTGCACTCCGTCTCTAGATGATTGATCTTCCTCTTCAGGTCTTTGGTTTGCTTCAGGTGATTTTCCTTAGCTTCTGCCAAATCGGCGTGCAGCTTGTTGCATTCTTGAACTAATTTTGCGTTGTCGCACTTATAGGGATCAGCTGTCAACTCCTGGGGGCCCACAAGCTTCGAGAGAAAAATGTTTTGGTTATTAAAAAAATTACGAAGAGGGGAAGAGAGGAAATTCCTTAGAAAATTCAGTGGAGTCAGGAGAAAGTTGAGAAGGAGTCCTGATGTCTATCTTCAATTACCTCGATCTTATCCTCAGCTATAGCCTTAAAATGCCTCAGACTTTCAGTTGTTTGAAGCAAGTCACCTAATAATCTCTCCACAAGTGACAGTGCATCCACTGGAAGTGTCTGCCTGTATCCCAAATTCTCCAATCTTTTCCTGAGGATTCTGTACCTTGAGGTGATATTGTGGCAATCATCCTCCATACCCACTTGTTCATACATTCCTATCTCAATTATTACACCAAATTATAAACTAATATTCGAATTTCGGAGGCTTGACAGTTGCAGCATTCATAACCTCATATTTTTTAAATTGGAGGGAAAAAAAAAATGTATCCTCGTGTGATATCTAATCATTAAATCCTCACGCTCAAGTGAATTTAATACTACAATTACAAACTCAATGGATATAAACTATTTGTATTGACTTTTGAGAGCATAAATACTGGATGCGTCATTCGATGGAACGTAAACAACTTCAAAAACCACTGGATGTATTTTCAACGGTCGTTTTGTTAATCGCCTCCCATTTCTGTTTTCGTTATATTGTCAGACATTGTGTATATCTTTTCCAGAGTTTCCTCCCCTCCTGTCTCTTTTCCACGTGATTTTTTATAATAAACATTTTTTAACCTTAATTTATTGATAAATAATATCTCTGAGGTGTAAAAAATGAAGATGGAGATGATTTAATTGTGATTTACCCACGATTCTGGGAATTTTTGAGGTTAGAAGGCAATTCGCATGCCTTTTGTTGACACAAATAAATTATAATAAATTAATTATCTAAAGAGATGGCACCCACGAGGAACACGATTATTGTGGAGAGGTTGTCGTCAGCGTTTTCTGATGATAACAAGGGTGACCTGTCACAGGTATGTGACAGCATATCTTCAGAGATCCTGAGGAGAGAAATAACACTCTGTGAAGTAGTAGAACAACTTGGGGAATTGCTGACCAGCACTGATATAAGTGTTCGAGCGAATGGAGTTCTTTCTCTCTCGACAATAATTCAGAAACTTCCCCAGGATTTTCTAAATCCTCAGGAGGTCCAGCTCCTGACGTCGTTCTATTGTGATCGTCTGAAGGATCACCACAGTATCATTCCCTCAGTTATCCTGGGAATTTTGGCAATTGTCCAGATGACAAATCTCCCTGGAGATGCCCCTGGAAAACTCTTTCACACACTCACTCAAAATGTTCGATGCCAGTCTGAACTCTCGGACGATCGCAGGAACATCTACCTAATTCTCCAGAGCCTCTTGAATACTAGGATCGACGACTTGAAGGCACTTGGTCCAGATTTCGTGTATGGAGTGATTTCCTCGATGGATGGGGAGAGTCATCCAAGGAATTTATCGCTCCTCTTCAATATTCTACCGAAATTTATGGAGGAATTTTCCCTGGGACATTTGACAGAGGAGATGTTCGAGGTGATTTCATGTTATTTTCCCCTTGATTACACGTCTGATTGGAAAGAAGGCAGAAATATCCTCAGGGAAGAGCTAGCCAATGGTCTGGAGAGGTGCCTTGTAGCTCTCCCTGAGTTCGCAGAGTTCTGCATCCCATTGTTAATTGGAAAATTGGATTCTAGTTTGAAGGTGGCAAAACTGGATTCACTCTCCCTGCTGTCAGCCTCGTCATCGAAATTCGGGGTCGAGGGACTTAAGGATTATTTGGATGACCTCTGGATGCTGATGAGGCGAGACTTGATGTCTGGGAGTGATCAAGCCGTGAGGGAAATGGGACTCAAGGCGATTACTGACGTCGTTGGGGCTCTAGCACAGGATCCAGTCATCACTGAGAAATTTGTGGGAAAAATTATTACTGATACCAAGTCGTCTTTATGCGATGTTCAGTTGAGTCTCTTTTGGCCAGCTGAGAAGGTCCTGGAAGCTGTCGCTAAGGGGGGAAAGGAGGCCTGCATTCAAGTTCTCAGGGCGGTTATTCCTCTGTGCCTGGGACAGTACTCCACGAAGACCAGTACTGATGATAAGATTATTCTCTTAGAAACGTTGAACAGCTTTATAGCGATATCTGGTAGCCATGGGTTCAGAATATCTGATGTGCCTGAATTATCCTGGACGGATGTCCCTAATTTGTACTTAAATGAACTCAACGAGGGAAAGAATTCCATCAAGTCGAAATCTTTGAGGGGTCTGGCCCTCCAAGTTTCCTCTCTATCGGAGTCTCATCGTCAGACTCTTTATGATAAACTCTGTGGGGAAATCGACGCTGGAAGCCAAGAGATTGAATCAGCTTGTCACTCGACTCTATCGATTTATGGAAGAAAACATCCCCAGGAGGTGCTGCAGCTTCTTCAGGCGCGTCTTAAGGTTGATGTCAGTATACCCATAGCTGTCCTGGAGAGCAGACTGGCGGCTCTATCTTCGGTAGTCAAAATTCCAGATTTCGAAGCTCACGTTCTGCCTTCTGTCCTTGAAGTTGCTGTTGCTGGGGACTTGAAGGCGGCTTCAGCTGCTCTGACATGCCTCCTGAGACTCCTGGAGGATGAGACTGGAGGTTTTGATATTCATTATTACCTGGAGCATCAGTGCAAGGCCGTCGAGAGGCTAGTGGAATCAGTGGAAGGGAGAACTGGGGAGCGGATGCGACTGGTATCCAATATTTGTTGTTCTATTGTTAGGAGATTGAGCCCTGAAGCCCAAAGAATCGTTGTCGAGAGACATTTCGAGACCTTGAGGTCCAGGATTGCTGAGGATATAATTTTATTGGAAGGAATAATTACTCCTCAAGCTCCGGAGATTGCTGGGACTATTGGGATTGGTCTATTGGAGCAATTGTTTGAGATCTCGTTGAAAGGCCCTGATGAGGAGACGAGATTATCTGCCTGTAGATTGATATCGATTTTAGTTAATAAAGTCCGGGAGGATTGCACCCTGGGGAGATATTTGAACATCTTCAGAGAGAGTTTGACTCAGATTTTAGAAGAGGAGAATAGAGCTGAGGAGAAAAGAGCTGCTGTGATACTGCATACCTGGCTGACGAAGAGTCTTCTAGTTAAGGGCTCCAGAGAGTCTCAGAATTTCTTGGATTATCAGTTGAATATGTTGAAGAATGAAACCGTCGGGGCATTTGTGGGGGAGCAGTTCAGGGTTCTTGTTGAGAGGGGGGAGAGCACCTTGACTGTAGAAAATCAATGCACTGTCAAGATTTTTTACAAGCAGAGAATTTTCCAAAATATTATTCAACAGAATTCAGTGTTTGAGGGGGCAGCCAGGGAAAATTATCTGATCGCTCTCAGTCATCTTGTAGAGGAAATCCCTGTGGAGCTCATGGCCTTGAATTTATCGAAGGTTTGTGGCCTCTGGTGACTGGTCGAAAAATGATAATGAAAAAAATTGATTTGAAATAACCTTTCTGTATATTTTCAGATTGTGCCACCTCTTATCGAATCCCTCTCGATGGAGAGTAGTCAGCTCCTGTTATCAACCCTCAACACCCTGGGTCAACTTCTCAAATCGAAAGAGGAAATTTTTGCTGAGTACATCGACAGTTTCATACCGAAATGCTTGAAACTATCAGCACACCCTAAAATGCTAATTAGAATAGCAGCCTTGAACTGTCTGCACAGTTACTGCAGTTATCCAACGCCAATAATCCTAATGTGTAGGAACGACGTGATTGACAAATTGTCGGAGGCACTGGACGACAAGAAACGACTCGTGAGAAAAATCGCTGTGAAGACGAGGACCAGGTGGTACCTCGTGGGGGCCCCTGGAGGGCCTGATTAACGTCCTCATTGTTGCAAGTAGATTAGGAACAAATTGTAAAACAGCTGGTGTAATCACATACAATGTACAGATACTGAACGTAGCTGCGGAGTTAATTAAATAAAAAAACATTGATTTCCTGTAATTTAATTTGCTTTTGCTTGGGAATATACAGACGGGTAATGCGGTTAGTAGGCGATCAGGATGGGTGATGGTAAGATCTAGCTCTTCGAATACGAACAGTAGATTTTCTATACCAAGTGAAAAAAAAATTAATTACCCCGAAATTGAATAAAAACGAGAATTTATCCTGTGGGAAAATAGCTCATCAAATTTTCAATTCCACATTTTCATTTCTATTGAAAAAATAATTTATTTATGGAGTAATTAATACGATTTCTAGCGTCCAAATTGCATTGATTTTATTAACGACGGCATATAAATCGTTACCGAAAAGAAATTGACAAAAAATTCAAAATTCAATTATCTTATGGAAGTGAAATGTAAAAAGCGAATTTTGTGTGAAGGAGTGACGAAAACTGGGGCATACAAGTATGAGGATGGAACGAGGTACATTGGGGATTGGAATGGAAGAGGAATGAAGCATGGAGCTGGTTCCCTGATGCTTCCTGATGGCACCAGATACGATGGAGGCTTTCATAACGGCTTGTGTTCAGGACTGGGAGTCATCGTATTCCCCGATGGTGCGAAGTAAGTCCTCCATTGAGAAAGAAAAAATTACTCGCACCTAATTTTTCCACTCGTTTCGGTTCACCAAAGAATTTTTATTTCTATCTAATAAAGATTCGAGGGAGAGTTCATGCAAGGCTGGTTTCATGGTCATGGAGTATTCTGGAGATCCGATGGTATGAAATTCGAGGGTGAATTCCGTGGCGGTCGTATCTGGGGGCTCGGTAAGGATTTCATATATTTAAATATCTTATTGGAAAAGAATGACGATAATTTTATAATTTTGTTTATTGATTAATTAACGTCCTAGGTCTTGTAACTTATGCCGACGGATCTCACGGATTTCCCAGGAACGAGGGATTTTTCCAGGACTGTCGTCTGGTGCGAAGGCGCAGGTGTCCAGATGCCATTCAAAAAGCGCAAAAAATCGCCCTCATGGCTAGGGCTCAAACAGCCCCGTAGAATGTTGCAATCAGCTGTTTAATGATCATCTCCAATGTAATGAATAAATTTATTTAGAAAATTACCCCATCAACTCAACATTTGAAGCGAAAATCAATCATAGCATAATTCAATTGAGTTATCCGATGTTCTCCGCCATTTTCAAATTTTAAAAGGCGGCCGACAAAATGGCCGGGATAATCGGTGAACTCCTTAATTGTTCTGCGATCCTGGTATACAATTATTTTATTTAAATTTTGAGGAGACGAGCTCCGATTTTATGAGAACAGAAGAGAGTAGGAAAGGAATTGTTGCCAAATATTTCCTAATGAATATGTATGCAATACCAAAGCAAACTCGGATTACTTCTCAATTATTCTGTTATCCTGATACAAAACTCCCGTTTGATTCGAATTTCAATGAAATGCCCTCTGAATTATTCTCCATTTTTCTCAAATTATAACAGGATCACGGAAAAATTGACGAGGAACCCGATTTTTCCCGTCACTTTGATTTGTAAAAAGGTGGCTGGCCATTTTAAGGTCGAGATCATTGAGCAAGAATCGAGCATTGAAAAACAAATGGACTGATCGAAATTTAAAAAAAATGGAAATCCCCTTTCTCTTTTAATATATAATATAGGGATTTATAAGGCATAAGGATAAGGTAGGAGAATGGAAGGAGAGAGCCTGAAAAATTGAGAATCAGCATGACAATATCTGACAAATTGCAATGACGAGAAATCTTCAATCGGTTTCTATCGCCAATACCCGCCAGTTTTTGATTGGAATGTGATCAATCAAAATCTACCCCACAAATACAATAGCCCCCGAAAGTCTTCTTCGTACGTGATACCATGAAAATTCAAAGTCATGATCGATGGTGTCAACGTCAATTGGTCGAGGCATCAGTCATGCTGTATCAATCGATTGACTTTATTAAATTTTAGATTTTTATGAGACTTCATCCGGTCGTGTGCTAAAATTCATAAAATCATAAAAATAAAAATAGAAAATCTGAAATTAAATATTTTCTCCAGGTTAACAGAAATTTTTTCAGTTCTGCAGATATTATTTATAAATTTTCCAAATGTAGAAAATAAAAAATTATTCTCCAGATTTTGGGGGGCCGATTTTTATCATTTCAACTTCGATTTGCATTTGGTATATTTCAATACTTATTTCGGCTCTGCAAAAATTAAAATTAATGAATTCTATATGCAGTTGACCATTCTCTCCCCAAACGTTCCACACCGTCACCGTTATCCTGACATCTGTCACTCATTAACATCACGCCTCTCTGACCGCAAACAGAGCCTCGAAAGTCAAGGAAAAAAAAATACCACAGAAATATTCAGATTGAATTTTAACCCAGTGTTTTGAATTTGACAAGTCTCTGTGGTGTTTACACTTACAATTCAATCCTCACCGCGACGAATTGCGACAATTGTACTCGACATTTAGAATGACGAAAGAGGGGCCGAGGTGGATTTTAAATTGTCGGGACTTCAGGGCATTTGCAGTAATTCCCATCAAACATATATACCTAACTAAATTTTTCCCCCTATTTCAGTTTTTTTCATCAACTCCATATAAACGTCCTCTCCCAAAAAATAGAGTGAAAAAAAAAGTGGTTTAATGGGGTCACGAGTCACTCTATTTTTGCCAGAAGAGGTGACACTTTTTTCGTTAAAATTTCACACGACAAAAAATTAATAGCCACCCAGAAAAGAGGACAATTTACTCTGTATTTTTCAACGGAGAAACTCCATTTGACTCATTTTCCAGTTGAACAATACATTGGGTCACTGAATTTATGTGGGTGTTACGATTTACGATTGATTCAATTATTTCCGTGATTTAATCGTCTTACAGCCGTGACGGGGTCGGATGACCAGATGGCACGTAGAATAGGCGGAAAACGAGTTCTAATCACTTGCAATGACACGAAAATTTGTCCAATTGACGAATTTTCCTGCCCAGTTTTCAGAATTCTTCCGATATATATAATCCAGCCTATATAAAACACTATCTGCAAAATACATATCAGGAAACGTAATTGACATTTTTTTTCTAGGAGCCTAATCAGATAAATTACGAGATGGTAATTTATGTCGTAATTTACCTCCCGATTTTTTAGGGGTTTTCATTTAAATAGCAAATGATATTAATTATAATAAAAATATATAATATTTCAATGGGGCTTTTGAGTAATATCTGAATTGTTAATAAAGTAATTCAAGGGAAATGTATGAAATAATAATTGCCACAATGGAACCCTCACGCCCTACAGCTTCATTACATGGGGTCAAACCCTCTGGTCATTCGCCGCACTTTGCGCAATTTACGATGAACAACACTCGAGATATAATAAGAAACATATGAAAAATTAATGGTGGCAGTGTCCACGGTGATAAATTCATATTTTCCATTGTGACTGGACATATATCTGAGGGCAGAGGGAGTCAAACAAATCGTAAAGTCTCCGAGTGTCGAACGTGCCCACAACAGAATTGGAATGACCAGTGTAGGATGGACAATGGTCAGTCCAATTATTGACGATTGTACTCCACCAACTGTCGAATCCCTCGATGACATCACAGTCCAAAGAGTCAAGCGGATTTCGATGGTCATGGGGGTGGGATGACCCATTCCGCCAATCAACACTCACCCCCTCACTGTTTTTGTAAGAAATACGAGACATATCCACTTTCTACTTTTTTAGGGGATGGTCAGTATTAATGCTATGCATATTTTCTTTTCATTTCTTTCTTGATTCCACGTGCTCATAACAACCCTTGGTCTTTTTCATAAAACGAGATCGTGCGAAATTTATTCATTCAACATTTTTTATTACAGGTCGGGTCGAGCCTTATGGTCATTCGAGATATCTCGAGATATCTCGGGATCTCCTTCCTTCTTTTTATATTAGGATTTTATTATAGGGGATGCTGTTGCGTAAAATTTGAAAATTTAAAAATCTCTTCGCTGTATGAAAGTGCATAGACATTTTTCTGATCATTAAATTTATTTGTTTATATATTGTATTTGTATTTTTTATCTACTTCTGTGATTTTTATTAAATATTTCACAGACAGTGGCACCGGTTAGTAATACCTAGTAACAGCTGAGGCCCATGGGTCAGTGAGCACTCGGCAAAAAATCGGGTGATTTATGCCAATTTATTCTCGTTTAATAGTGAAATTAATTAAATGGGGGAAAACTAAGACAGAATCACACAATCTGCACAATGACATTTTCAATAAATCTGCACAATTATATTTTGTATAAAAAATCACAAAAATGTTAATGTCAGTTTCGCTGAAAATTCAAATATCCTCGTTCTCGCACATTGAACGAATAAAATGCCAATAATTTACAAAACACAAAAGCGAATTGATAAATGCTGTGGCGTCGCGTGTCGTAAACGCGTGCAATGCCTTTTTGACAGAGAGTCGCGTGTCTCATTCTTGTTAATTTCAGGAAGTAGGAGAAATACCGGATGTTTGACTGTAATTCCATCGAGTTCCGTTTCATTCACACAAATCAAGTGTTTATAGTTGTCTATTAAATTGATCCCAAAAGTTCCCTAAGCCCGATTAAAAAAAACCAGCAATTTATCACTAGTATTCCAATTAATGCACATCAATTTTATTATAACAAGATTCTTTGAGAGTACATATGTAAATAATAATAATAAGTATATAATAATTTAAACTAAAAAATGTAAAAGATAAGTGAGATGCAATAATTTTTTTATAATATATGCGTAAACTTTTTGTATATAGCGGACGAAGGAAGTCACTGGTGCATGGAGGTGACTTGGTATATAACGGGGTATATATATATATCGATTTTATGAGGTTTATTTTATGTAAAACCTCCCCAATAGCCTGTTTAAACCTATAAGGTGCACATAAAGGTCACGCTCTAGGTGAGTTTCAGAGATATACAGCGGCAACTCCAGGTGTTTTCACAAGATATTTGCATTCTTATTACGGATTTGTATGGAGATTATGGACTGGCGAGGTACAACACGTAATTTTATTGCAGTTTGTTGGAGAATGGAAAATCGATTGAGAGTATTTTTTTGTGGGACTGTTACGCTGTGATTTCTGTGTAATAAATAAATTATAGTAAGATAGTAATTTTAATTTTAGATTCATGAGATTATCTCCGTGAAAATGAATTTGAAATTTTTATCATGGAAATTGAATGATTGAGATTAAAGTTGATATTTTATGAATGTTGTTGTTGTTGGTAATGTAATTTATAAGAATTTACAAGTTTGCAGCTTCTCGTGTGATTGAAAAGGAAGCAACCCTCTTCGAGTGAAATCAGGGGAGAGGGTAGTAAAGGGGAACAGCTCTGTGGGAACGTGTCGATTGAAAAGGAAAGGAGAGTGAAAGTAGACTGAAGGGAAACATTGAAATAGCGGAAAAGATGGTACCATTTGTTGAGGACCCCTGCGAGTAATAAAATATTGCATAATGGTGAATATACTCGATAGATGAAATGTCTTCTCCGATTTCAGGGGAAGGTGAGTGTGCAAGTGTTGATGGCTCGTGAGAAAAAAAAAATGTTCCAATGTTGGAAGAGAGATGTCACACACGCGATATAATTCTGTCGTGTGTTGGACGTGTGCATTATTTTTATCATGATTTCGTAGATCGACAGGTGAACTAGGGAAGTCGTGGGAATTCTTATCAGAATCATTCTATTTACTCTATTCGCTTTAAATAAAATATTTTAATTTTTTAAATATATTATTTAAATACATAAATATAGACGTTTCTCGATTCCTTCACTTATTTCTATTCGTACGAAACAATAACTATTTTTATTTATTATCTAAGAAATTATAATATTTCAGTTATTATTAGTTTATTTATTTCTATTTTTATAAATAATTTGTAATATTTTTTAATCATGATATTTTTGTTATTAAAATAAAAATGATACGAAAAAATGAAAAATGGAATTTCGGGTTGAAATTGTGATTCATGAATTTAAATTTTTTGTTAATTTCAATAATTTGTAATTGTTATTGGAATCAATGGGAACTCCCTCTGAGATCGTAATGAAAAGTTAACCGATTAGTCATTATATAGGTTCCCATGGTACGATAATCGTGTGATCGTGTGCTACAACCAATTCCTGTGTGAATTTCATTCCCCCGCAATCCCCACCCCCAATTGCCCCCTCGTTTTCGTCGAGCCCTCCCTTTGTCCACACTTCTTCATGTCTATCAAAAACCACCACTGATCGCTTCAATTCCAATTTACCGTGTGAGATTTCATGGTGACACCCTTATCACTGTACACCATAAACCCGCACCATCATCCAAATTTCCGCACTTCTTCCAACAATCTTATCTAACTGGTACTGCAGGCACGTGCCCCTTTATTATTTCACATTCAATGTTTGGTCGATTAATAATCTACGATGTGTGCGATGAATAATTTAATAATCTAGATCGAGTTCCAGATTGGAATAAATATTATTAAAAATTTTATCACCATCGAACTAATTCTCAAATCTAAATCTCAAATCAAAATCTCAAATTCTAAAATCATTACACCGAGTCCAATCGATATTAATCTCAAATTGATTTCTTGAAATGATTGAAAAAATAAATAAATAATTCAATTTTCTTGTAATTATTGTTATGATAAAAAAAATGATGTTTCTGATAAAATGGAATGGAAATGGCGGGCGAAGAAAGTGATAAAAATAATGGGGGAAAAAGTGGTTGGTTGTTGACCGAGTGGACGAGATTTCATCCCCTCAATGATCGTTTCACTCCGCGACACGCGTTCCCACGAAATCGTGCACCCCACCTCCTGGCCCTTCTCACCCTATCCACCAGTGAGTATCCCCTCCATCCTAATACGAGACAGAAAGAAATTTCAAATACCCAACGTATTCCATACAGTATCCCCACCCCGATTCCCATAACCCGAGGGCCACCACGTGGCGAACGTACGGCATTTCTCCTTCCAATGGACCTTCTGACCACGGGATAGGTCGTGTGTCGTCCTCGTCCTCCCGCACACGACATACGTTCGCCGCCACGCGACTCGTCTACACGCATCGGAACCTCCACAGCACTCACTATTATTTAACATTATTCATTTATCCACCGACTCCATTTTAAAATTGTTCAACAATCCAAAACTATCAAGTTGGTGAAGACAAACGAAAAATTCTTCCAAGTGATAAAGAAAATATTATGTTATAGTTGTTTAGTGGATTCAAGTGGCTCGTGAAGTGGATCAAATTGTTTTTATATTATTATAATAAAAATGTGGCGTGTAGTGGTAGCAAGATCCGATGAGAACAGTACGTTACTGTCTTCTGAGATAACAACGGCTCCAGTGGGTCCTACCCACTTGTCCAGCATCCCTGGTCCACCGACGGGTCATCATTACTACCCTGGATATCCACCACCCCCTCATCATCCGCCTTATCAACCCCAACATCCCGATGTACGTCATCACGAAATGCGACCTGATTTGAGACCGGAGTTGAGACACCAGGATATGCATAATCGACAAGAGATCAGGCACCAGGAGATGCACAGACCTGAGATGAGGAATGAGGGCATGAGGACAGAGATGAGACACGATATGGGCCAGCACCAGGATATGAGTGGTATGAGGCAGAGTCATGAATTAACTGAGTTGAGACCAAGTCATGAATTACCAGAGTTGAAGATTGATGGGCCTGAACTCAGGCCGAGGGACGGACAAAATCAGGGACATCAGAGGAATCTCAAGAGAACTATGAGTGATTCTGATTGTGATGATGTATTCTCGGAAGAAAGTGGAAAAGACCCGTGAGTACTTTACATAAATGCAACTTAACGTAAAATACCCTAATTTGTTCAACTATTTTTATTACAACTTCAATCTAAATTCATCCGATGGATTGCATATGCATCAGTGTCTCAATTTTTTTTTGTTACATCCCCGAGAATAATTACTTCTGTCTCATAATTAATTCATAAGAGAAAGACAGGAGTTTTGCTCATGAATATTCAAAATCTTTAGTTATTTCAACTCGTTGCATTTACTCTTGCAATCAACTGACCATTGTAATGGTCTGCAACAATTGCGTACCCACAATAATGTCTAGACTGATATTTAATCCGCTATAAACAATGATAGCATAATTTCAAATGATTTTAGATGTAATTCACCTGGTGGGGATTCGTGCCAACATGCGTCGCGTAAAAGACGAAGGGGGATGATTGAAAAAAAACGAAGGGACAGAATTAATGCGTCTCTCGGTGAACTCAGGAGATTGGTACCAGCAGCAGCTAGAGATCCGCACTCTGGAAAACTCGAGAAAGCGGAAATTCTTCAGCTGACTGTTGAACATCTCCGCACCCTCAGGAACAAAGGTAAACCTCTTTAAATATCCTAGGTCTTTAACCGTTCGCCGTTGACTCAATTCAATGCGGATTTTTTTTTTTCCGTTTGGGGATCGGGATTTTTAAGAGACATGAGCGGATGTGAATTATTTGAGGAAATATTTCCGGGGTGTTTCACGCCTGGTATTCTACCGCTCGAATATTTTTTGGGACCACCGGAAGACACCTGTTGAGCTACTGAGGGATGAGGGGGTAGTCCTAACTGTATTAATTCAGTAACCGTATTAACATCTGCTATTTTTTGGATAATTAAATCAGGTAGAGGAGAGAAATATTTCAGGGTCCAATACTCGAACGTAATAACAATTATTTCGCTCGCGAAAATTTGTTGTTTTACATCTTAAAACGTGAGATTTATTAATATCTCTCATCTCGATAACTGGAGGAGTGAAAATTGACATTATTTTCTTACCCTTCAATTTATATCATTTCTACTGTCTTTCAATTATTTCCCCAATGACTATTAAAACACGATTTTATCCACTCCTATTCGAATTCGGAATGAATATTAAACATTAAGTATTGAATAATAAAATATAAATCGTAGATTTATCAGAAAGAAAAAGATCACAGAAAAATCTCAATGTAAAATTTATAAATATTTTACTTTGCATTGAAAATTCATTTACATCATCTTTAAGCGATTAACAAAAAGTTATAGATTAATTGAAAAGGAAATGGAAAAGAAAAAATGTTGCGCGAGAAAAAAAAATAAATATTTTACTGAGAATTAGTTAGAGATAATAAATAGAGTTCCGTATTTGGTCTCACGAGTTCCGTTTTCAATATCCTCCCCATGGCCACTTGGAGGTACCGTAAAGAAACAGCCAGTAGGGCAGGTGCTTGGCCTACCCCGTGATCCTGTGGGAAGCGCGGAGGAAGTCAACAACTCTTCCGAGTGGAGTTCCCACGATTGACGCTCAACCCCTACTACTGGGCAACTGCAGTCTGCCAACAGTACCAGTGGTGGGGGTACCAACTCCCCTGTTATACTGAGAACACCCCACTGAAACCATCCCAAAAATTTACTAGGTGCCCATTCGATCGCATAGGGCAGATGTCCAACACTGTGGGAAACACTCATCCCAGAATTCACTCATTTCCACACTAAATATCTCCCTTTTCTCCATTCCACGTACTACCCCATCACAAATCTCTCCATATATTATTTTAATAAAAAATTAATTCATTAATTCATTCATTTACTCAATTCGCAATTATGAATTGCAATTGAATCCCAGTTAAAAGCCCTCATTAATTCAATTACAAATATAAATTGTGAATTAATATTTGGGGTAGAATTCCACGTGAATTAATATTTGGGGTAAAATTCCACGTGAATTAATATTTGGGGTAAAATTCCATGTGAATTAATATAACAGCAATTAATTTCTCGTATTAAATCAAGTGCAGATGGTAATGGATGATAGAATCAATGAGAGAATGGAATTACATTTTTTGGAAAATATAGAAAATTTGTGAGAAGATGGGAAAAAAGAAAATTCCTCAAAGACTGATCCCGTGGAAAAATGAAAGGTTTCGCATCAGTGGATCCACTGGTGGCGAATAGAGGACAGGTAGCGTGGGAACCATTTAGACCCCCTGGATCCCCCTCTCAAAATCCATTAGTGTGAGTGTATATTTATACACACCCCGTACACCACACGACCAAAAAAATTCACCAGTGTCGTATAATGCGATTCCCTTTTGTGTATATCTCCTGTATACAGACTCCAGGGAATCGGAGAGATCATTGCGGCCTGGCAAATGCCAAATCTAATTTCATTACGAACTCTGTATTTGATCTATTTTTTATCCGGCTCTCGGTTTTCTCATTTTTTATCCATATCCACCCCTTTCCACAATGAATATTCAATATTGAATTTCTACCCCTCGAATCTCCCTCCCAGGGGACTTCTGTTTGATCGAATTAACTTTGAATTATATTTTTCTCACTGTCCTCTTCTTTTAATCCGACTTTCGAGTTAAATAAATTATAAATTGAACCCAGATTTATTGAATCAATTCCCTAATTTCATGTATTCTCATTTAGATTTTGTTAAATTTTTTAAAAAACTCCCACGGAAAAATGTATGTTATAGAATATACTATTAATGATATATATACAATTTAATTGAATGGAGTTTCCGTTGTTGTTTCAGGTCCAGAGGGCTATGATAGCACAAAATTGGCGATGGATTATCACGCAGTAGGGTGGGGTGAGTGTGCAGCCGAAGTTGGTCGTTATCTGGTGACAATGGAAGGTCTTGATGAGCGAGATCCACTCAGACTACGATTACTGTCACACTTGCAGAGTTTTCACAGAGAGCATCCACCCAGCAATACCACCATTCCACCCCAGACATCCTCATTAACTTCAACCTCCACAGCGACGAGTTATGATGCATCAGGTATGCCACCAAGTGGTGGCAATGTTGCACCTATTATAGGAGGTGGTGCTCTAGGATGGGGACAATATCCAACCCAATATCCCCAGCAGCAGCATGGAAAACCATATCGTCCTTGGGGTGCAGAACTGGCGTATTAAATTAACAAAGACAATGTTCAATTGAATAAGTACCAAAAATATGTACAAAAGTATTTTCTCCAAGTGCTAAAACTTCATACAAGAAGTTATTCCGATATTTTCGAGAATCGCTCATTATCAATTTCAATAATGATGAGAATAATCAGTTGGGGAGAGTTAAATTATAGCACTCTTCAAAGTAATTGAATGAATAATGGAAATAAAATTGAAACAATGATGGATATTCAGGGCATTGAATGAAAAAAATTGAAGAATGAGACAAAAGTGAAACTCAGGAATAAAATAATTTCTAGCTAGAGTGATAATATACATAGTCATGAAGTACCTTCGAGTGCGAAGACGGACTAAAATTCTAAAAAATATTTATTTGATATATTAGAGGGAACACTTGACTCTGTTTGTACAGTGTAAATAATGATAATTGTATATAATAATACGGAATCACTTGTTCTCTTTCTGAACTATTCTTTATCTACTCTTTATGTTCGTAATCACTGAAGTATTGAGATAAGACTTGCAAGTTGCGTTAAAGTGCCATTTAACATATCCAGATCCGAGTGTGAAAGTATATTTTTGCAATAAGAATTTTTAATAAAGATATTGCGCTCATGTGCAGTGAAAATTTATTCTGTTTTCGGTCCCTTCTGAAGCCCTTTTTATATGGTAAATAACATGTACCTTATTTCTGCATGTCGAACCCTTTTCATTTGTTATTCATGAGCTCAGACTTGACATTTTTTTTTACATTCATTGCTTTTTGTGGATTTTGTCGATTTTGCATGGAATAACCATTCCACTAAAATTGGAAAGAATTATTTTCGCGCAAGAAAGGAAGAAAACCGGTTCTAATTATTGGAGTTTACTTCTCTACCCCTCCAGAACCAATTTGCCGTGGATTTCCGGTGGCACGTGACCATTGTTCCCTTTTTATTATTTCTTAAAAAAAAAGTTGCTAGGACACGATCGATAAGCGGGGAGAAATCTTTTGTCCACCGTTTGTTGAGATGTGGAAACTTGAGAATTATCGAATTGTTTTTTTTATCTTTATGTTTCTCTGTTGTTCTTTATCCTATTTTCCCTCTTTACTCGAAGAAAATATTTGTAGTAAACAAAAAAAATTTCCCAATACGTCATTAAAATAATTTACAAGACACATAGTAATGTATGAAATTTCTATTCAATCAATAAAAAAAATTGCAAATGTATTTATTTTTTGAGGTGAGAGAAAAAAACGTAAGAGAAATGAGAAAATTAATGGTTGAACTAATTTTTATTTAGGAGATCGATTTATTAATTATTATTATATATTTTTTTATCATATAAATTTACTTAGGTGTATGGAATGTTCATATTTACAATTAGGTCTTTAGAGAGATGAATAGAATTAAATATTTTTACATGTGCCCGAAAAGTTTGAATTTTCAACGAAAAGGCAAATTATTTGAGCAACAATCCCCAATGTTGTTTGTTAACATCGCATAGTCTTGGATCAGAGTCATCCATTCGTTGGACAATAGGCCAGTAATTACGATTGATGGAAATCATTATGATTTATCCTAACTATTGACTGATATTAGTGGGATCCTAATGATTGTACAGCTACGTGAATAAAATAAATCAATCTTTATGTTATTAATTAGGTCTAAGTGTTTAGCGACTCCACTGAGTCATAAATAATTTCTTTCATTCGGTTATCACTCAATTGATCACTCCCGATCATCAATTCATTAACGAAGTGATAAACTAGAATGAGTACATTTTTTCGAGGCCTATTTTATCGCAGATATCTCGAAATCGAAGGAACATATCGATTTTTAAGCATAAACATTTTTTATGAAAAAAAATGAGAGCTACAAAAAAGGTGATTATGAAAATCTCGTTATCTCCCTTGGATTACGAGATATCGCCTAAAAAGTGGGATCGAAAAAAATGCACATCCTAATTCGCCGCTTTACAACAGAATTGTAATCAATATAAATAATTAGATTTCAGGAGACGTTAAATTATCATCTCATTCTCAATATTTTCGTTCCGCCGATTTTCATACTCGGTACAGTAACTACATATGGAGGTACATTCCGATGATCCCTCGGTGACGTATGTAACGTAAGTATCGATACTTTTGGCGTCCAGGGAATGCAGTGACCAGGACATGGACTCATACTCTGGTTCTAAATATGTTGCAGTCCACCCTGGTACAACTGCAGGTGACATTTCATACATTACTTCATTGCAGTACAACTTTTTTTGTTCCTGCTGAGATTTTCGAACTGCCCTACTTCGTGTTGATAATTTTTTTATGACCTACAACAAAAAATACAACCCACCATGATTACCTAAAAATTATAAAAATTAAATAGAGCATATTCCACTGACAATCCCTCTTTATTGTCAATGCCATAATTAATGTGGAATTTTTCAATAATTTGTGTGATGTCAGGTTGTCATGGCGCGAAAATTGCAGTAGTAAAGGTCAATCGTAATCAATGACCCAAAAATACAAAAATCCTCCACTGAACTCGACTAGTTTATAACTGAATGATGAAAAGTGAAGGGAATAATTCTGAAAGGATAATAAAATAGAAAATACCTTCAAGATTCGTTTCCCCGACTCGGTGAGGGCTTTCTTGAACATTCTCCTAGTTTATCGATCCTTGGAATCCCAACGGGCTGCTCCTTCCCTATGCACAGAAACTCGTTTCTCTCAGAAATATCTTGTACTTTGTCTGTTGGTCAAGTGGTTGATGTTGAAGGGGTTGTCGGATGAAATCGAACAAGTGGAATTAAATTACAATACGATTTTGTGTTAGGGGTGGTTTGATGGGGCTTGGACGTGGACACGACGGCAGTTCACGTCGTAGTGCTGGATATCGGTGGTAGAGCACTTGTATTTATAACCTCGTCGGAGGGGATGAACTTCCCCTCGGTTATCACAGGAGCGAGAGCTCTCCCACCCCTAGGATGTGGATGTTATTGAAGGCGAACTTTTCCCCCGTCGGCGTTCATCGGTGAATGACAGGGGAAGTTAATTTTCATGAAAGTAGGTGCCCCATTTAAATGACCTTTATTCAACAATACGAAACATTAAGTGAATATCTATTTAAATATTACCTATTCATCCATTCGTCATATTTATTAACCAATTAATTATTCATCACTTCGTTATTTCATTTAATGAAATATGTCACGCATGTTTCAAACCAAAAAAAATGTACTCTTCTCATAAAATATTGCAAAATATTATTTGCAACTTTAAAATTTGCCTCCAATTGAATTCACTAGAAGAAGAATGATAATTTAGATTTTTTATGATTCCTATCATTATTATTATTGATGACTGATATCGCTGATTTTTCTATTGTGAATTTAATATTGCGGAAATTTATTGTTTTTATTGTACGACCCCCTTATTTCCACCAGGAGTACCATCAATTTTTTTTAATAACGCTTCCATGGATTATGGCTTTATTACTTTTTTTCATTACAATTTTTCTCCAGCAATTTTTTTCATATTTTGAATTGCTGGGAGGTATGATTTTTATTACTGGAAAGTATAATTGACTATTCATCGGAAATAGTGCGAATGGATGGAATACATCGGGGGTTCAATCATATTGGGGTGATAGTTTCGAAACGTAGAAACCATAACGAATCACATTGCATGTCCCAACGGACACAAGTGCGAAATAACGAAAATTAAATTGGATGGAATAGGATTAACTTTTGGAGAGATTGATCGAGCTGTCCCAACCACCACCCGAATATCAATTGCCGTATATTTTATTTACTCGAGTATCATGTCGAGGATGATCTCCATTTATGGATCGTTAAACAGTTCCCCTGGTAATTCCGTATGTACATTTTTTTCGTCTCACTGCGCACGGATTAATCGTCACGATCGAATTTTTATGGCAACACCAGATGAATGTTCATTGTCACATTTTCATTGTTGATCTTGAGGACACAGGTGGAATTTAAGGAGAGCACATGCCTCTCTCAGTCGCCAATTGTCGCCTGATGGTGACTTCTTGCACGCGACAAACACGCGACCTTACACGCGGCCATCGCGCGTGTCTAGGAAAAGTCTTGGAATTCACTGAATCAGGATCAAGTGATAAGAATCCCCAACAGGTGTTTTACCCCCAAATTATTTTCTTGTCTAATTATTTAATTCGCCATCCTTTCATTTAAATTTATAATTATTTCTTATTCACTTACTCCTAAATCCTCATAAATTCATATATAAATTAAATGAAAATAATATAAATTCTTCACCCTACACTTTTTATATTTATAATAATTTTTATTGTAATAGTTTGATTTTCGATTTTTTTTTCAATTTGGAAAATGAAAATTGCACGAAAGATTAACGCGTATGAGGCAATATGAGGCTCGGGGTCAAATTGAAAAATGGTTGATGATGCGTATATTTCGGATCCGGATAGACGCGTGCGGGGTCGCGTGTTATACGCGTGTGAGCGACGCCGTTCTCACGCGACGACACGCGTCCCCTCCCCCTTTCCACCACCTCTCACTCTCACAGAGAATCGCTTCGCACGTGTCACTCCATGTAGTGAAGAAAAAAAATTATAATTGTCATAACATCGCCCTTCGCTTTTACGTCTTTTGTATTCTCCCGTACCCGTTCGCCAACCACTCCTAATTCCACGAAATTATTATCGGATTTTCCTTTAAAGTCGAATTATTAAGAGATCGGATAATTATCCGAAGGGTATCCAATAATTTCCATAAATTCAATGTTGTCCCGCTCGATTTACCTAAATCTCAAAGTTTTTTGAATTTTGACATTTTGGTTATTTTTGAAAAATTTGAAAAAAATACGCGGTAAAATTATTGCACGATCATGAGATTTGGGTGATTAAATAATTATGCGAGTAATTAAATGCGAGTACGTGCGTTCGCGGAATTCCCATTAGTTGTTGGGTCCAATTTGTTGGGAAATTCAAAAGCCTGAATTTTGGTGGAAATTATGGATCAATATTGCAAAATAAAAAACGATTGTTCATGCTGTAAGAACAAGGAACTTCGCCAAGGGCAGATATGCGATACAATATCCACAAGCCCAATACTTAACAGGGGCAACAATTGCCAATAGCAATGAGGTAACGATGGACGCGTGGCGATCACGTGCCTGAAAATGCGGCTCAAACATCTCCTGAAAAATTGTATAGAGTGAAAGGCACATAGTGAGTTACATTCAAACAAAATAAGCCCTGCCTAATTGCAATGGTTCCATTAGAGATTAGACTTCAAAGAAAAGCCCTCCTACTTTCCAACCCTCTCCACTCTCTCCCTCCGCTTAATTAATGCACTGGCTAAATGAGGATCGTGTTACCAACTTTTTTTTTCATCCCCCGTTAGTTGAGGTATTGATTCAACTTTGTGAAACTAAACCCATAAATTACGAGTAGAGCCACTCGTGTTGAGAAAATTATTCGCAAATTTTTTCCTCAATATTTGACATGGTCCTGGCAAAAAAAAAATTGAGAGAAAAATTATTGACAGAACACGGGGAAAATTAATTTGTGGAAATTTGGACCGGATATGAGTGTCGGTGGATTTTTGTAAAAAGGGTAGGTTGAGACTTTTGGGGGTGAATTCGTAATCCTTTGGTGGGTCAGGCGCGTGGGAATCATCTCTGTCGTCATCTCACACGAGGTCACCCCTCGAATATCGAAATATGTAGAGGAAATTGAAAGCAATCATGTCTGAGAATAAATTCCTCATTTCCCCAACCATTCGTAATAATTATTGAAAATCAAAATCCAAAATAATTTCTCGTATGCCACTTTTTAAATTAATTTAGTACATTTTTCATTCATTTTCATTTTTAATTATAATCAGATAAATAATTTACATGAAAATCCCTAAATATGTGGCAAATCCAGAAATCAATTTTAATGTTAAAAAAAAATTGCGTTCTGTAAAATTTTCGTAAAAAGTAAACAATTCCAAAAATTTGGATATTTCTCGCTGAATAGTCAGACAGGGCATTTTGCCTTTGAAAATTTCGTTCCTTTCAGCAGCCACCAAATCACCCCCTACACCCGCACACCACGACCCCTTCTATATCAACACCCCCAAGTAATACCAGATCCCTCCATTACCAGCAAAGCTCATCCCCTCCACCGCCAAAACCCCGCCCAAGAGCTGCCATATCTCACCGAAAAATCACCCCTTAGCGCACCCCCGAGACCTATAAATAACCCACATCCCCTAATGGAATGATGTACTCCCGAAAAAAAAGAAAAAAAAAATTCAATCTCAGTCCCGCAAGCTTCCACAAATCACCTCAAAAAACCAATCCTTTCACGAAATAAAAAATAAAATAAAATACGGCCTAATATATGTCACTCGGTGAATCCATTGATTATCCTCCGTCGATACACCCTCCCTTCAACCCCCAACATCACGAAAGCATTCATCACGAAAATCATTTCACGAGAATTGAATATCCACACGTGAGCATGGGAGAACAAAACGGGAGGGAGAATCCTCCGAGAAAATTCATTATTTTCCATGTTTTTCCCCCTTTTTATAATTATTTTTTCCACTATGCCGTTTTGCTCTTTCGCGCACGTCGTTTAACTGTCGAGGAGCCAGTGGGGGGTGTAACAAGGGGGTGGGGTAGCCTGGGAGGGATGAAAAAGCCCTTTGAGGGGTCTAAGAGTGTCTCACTTCCTCCAGTGGTGAAAAAGAGGGTGAAATTGTAATGGGTGGGAGAGGTTTTCTGTTGAACCGAGGGAATCGAGATATGCGTACGGACGTTTAGTCGCCGGCCAGTCGTCGGCAAAAGCTCTCTACATCTCGAGATCACCGAACAATAAATAAATAAATAGAGTACCAGTGGAAATAACCTGTGGTAGCAAATAACCCTTCACCCCTCATGTGCCCACCATCGCCACACAAATTCACCCCTCAGTCACAATAAAGAACTCTCTCGTACTGCTGAGTGAATAAAAATATTAAAAAATATCTAGTCGACATTTTTACTCGGAGTGTTTCATCGATTATTAATGGTTATCTGTCAGTGGAGGCTGGACACACGTATTCATCGGTTTGAGATGAAACTGATATGTTAACACTAAATGTATGAGAAACAACGAGTGCTTGACAGGTAACAACACTGGGAAATTACACAGCTGTATTTATACGTGGAAATAATCGTGACCGAGATTTCGAGTGGAATCTGTATCCCTCTCTGTTTGCTGTTACTCTGAGTAGAAAAATAAGAAACTGTTTTAAAAAAAGGAGTTCGAGGGAAAAATAAATCCGAGAGTAAATGCAATCTGTTGAGGTTTGCAATTTACTTAAGTGATGTACCAATACGTATCTCGGGGAGCATTCTGATAATTGTAGTTCTACTTTCTCCGTCAATTCATTGCTCGTGATATTTTCATGTATGTCTTTCTGACTGATCAGGAATTGATCAACAAAGGGATACCATGGGTACCATTCATGAATCAAAACAAGTGGAATTGGAGGGAAAACTGTGGACAGTCGGATTTTCATATTGATACTGAAGTCGTTACGAGATTTGTGATGCACTGAATTTTTCAAAATATCCTGAGACTAAATCAAGACAAAACGAGTGGAAAAGCAGATGACTTAATACATCTAGGGATGAGAGTAATCGTGGATTCTATCGTGACTAATCCCTCGGACATACCCTGGGGACATTCTACTGAATCGTAAAAAGCACAGGACGACGTACAGCCAATCGGTGACAATCTCGAGGGAGTAATCGTGGACATTGCCAAAAATAAAATAACACTATAAAAAATCATTTAAATGATCAAAGGATATCAAAGGAGATCGATTGCTTCAACTGTTCGATTCTCAATAATTAATCGATGATCACTTCGAGGAATAGACAAGGAAAAAATGAGAGGAGATAATGATAAAAGGGATTGATTAAAACGTCGGTGAGATATCTCGATGAGAAAAATGATAGAGTTGCCGGAATTGCATGAATTTACTGTTAACTTTAATCAGTCAGCGAGAAAAGGATGTACTCTCCTCTTGCCACGGGCAAATGAACACCACGAAATGAGAATAAATGAGAAATATACACCGGGTGGAAACGACGGGATGGTTTATGGAAGTGAATTAAAAGTCATTTCGCTGAGCCAACGAGAAGGTGACTAATTTATTTTGCTATCGTTACATTCCCTATTTACATCTGGGATTAAAATTCGTCGAGGATAAACTGCTGAGTGTTTTTATTAACAAGACAGTACAAAGGTTGTATTTATTTCGAGAAATTGTACGTATTTTTTTTTCGCCCTTGTTTTGATACAAAAAGATGATGCCTGTTGCGTGACACAATGTCAGAATGTACAGGAGAAATAAGAAAGAGGAAGAAGAAAGCCGTTACTATTGTGTATCCCTTTGAGTTGTCAGTGAAATGACGTCCATGAGATGAATGAGAGAAAAAGAACAGATAGCGGTGGAAAAATCAAGGGATTTATAATGAAGAGAGTGAAAAAAGTTGTTATTTTTTTTTAATGGTTAAATATGTTGTTTCGAATGAATGGTGTGACCATCGATTTCTCGATAGTATCCGGCCGGTGATTGCCGGAAGGCTGGAGAAGAGGGGTGGATAATCGTGGGGGTGAGGGGGCCAAAGGG